GCAGAAGCTTTTAGTTTGATGTGTTATCTAGAAAAAGATTAACACAGAAATAAAAAACAAGTAGCATTTATTGGGAAATAAAGAATTGCAATTCAGGTATACCAAATCGGGACAGCCCTGAATAACATTCTGAATGGCAAGTACAGGAAAGGTGTTTTATAGCGGATTTCCACAAAAGGTTGTTCTTGGAGGCAGTTCATTGACTGGGCAGAAATCCTAAATTGCAGACTTGTTTGGATTGGTTAGTCAATTAGGGTACTTTCAGCTGAAAGATGTGGATGGCCAGCAGACACTGACTCCAGTTGTTAGTTAAGTCTATTGAAACATCCTGTGGTTTGATATTTAGCAGGTGTGAGTGCAATCGTCTTGCAATCTCCTGACTTAATCTTAGCCTCAATTACTTCATTTTCTTTTACAGATGTAATCCCATTTTTCTTTTTTTTTCTTAAAAGATGACCGGTAAAGGGATCTTAACCCTTGACTTGGTGTTGTCAGCACCATGCTCACCTAGTGAGCAAACCGGCCATCCCTATTTGGGATCCGAACCCGCGGCCTTGGTGTTATCAGCACCGCACTCTCCCGAGTGAGCCACAGGCCAGCCCGTGTAATCCCATTTTTCTATTTGTGCATTTGTTGCCTGTGCTTTTGCAGTCAAATCCAAAAAAATCATTTCCCAGACAAATGTCAAGAAGTTTTCCTCTATGTTTTCTTCTAATAGTTTTACAGTTTCAGGTCTTACATTTAAGTCTTTAATCAGTTTTGAGTTTAGTTCTATATAATACTGCATAGTTTTTAAATGACATGAATTAAACTAATTTATATATTTTAGAAAAAATTATAGGATTTTCTTTTTCTTTTTTTTTTTTTTTAAAAGATGACCGGTAAGGGGATCTTAACCCTTGACTTGGTGTTGTCAGCACCACGCCCAGCCAGTGAGCGAACCGGCCATCCCTATATGGGATCCGAACCCGGGGCCTTGGTGTTATCAGCATCGCACTCTCCCGAGTGAGCCACTGGGCTGGCCCAGGATTTTCAATTAATATAATTTATTCATGCATTGACTTAATAAATACTTATTGAATACCTACTATGTGCCAAGATTTGTTCTAGGAACAATTACCATTTACTGAACTTCGATGTAGGTGTTATTCTTCTGATTTTATTAATGAAGACATGGTGAAGTTTGGGGGCTGGCCAATCAGCCCACTTGGTTAGAGCATGGTGCTTGTAACACCGAAGTCAAAGGTTCAGCTCCCCATACTGGTCAGCTGCCAACAAACAAAGCAAAAAAGATATGGTGAAATTAGGCATTAGAGCATGGTGCTTGTAACACCGAAGTCAAAGGTTCAGCTCCCCATACTGGTCAGCTGCCAAAAAACAAAGCAAAAAAGATATGGTGAAATTAGGCATTTTTCGGGCCGGCCCGTGGCTCACTTGGGAGAGTGCGGTGCTAATAACACCAAGGCCCCGGGTTCGGATCCCACATGGGGATGGCCGGTTTGCTCACTGGCTGAGCGTGGTGCTGACAACACCAAGTCAAGGGTTAAGATCCCCTTACCGGTCATCTTTAAAAAAAAAAAAAAAAAAAGAAATTAGGCATTTTTCTGGAGAATCTCAAGTCATAGTATCAGAGCCAGTATTTGAACCTCCATCTACTGATTTGAATTACAGATGGATACTTTATTTTACTAAATGAATTACTAAAGGAGTCCCTTAAATAATGAGCTCCCATAGGACTCTACATTTCTTACAAGGATCAAGAGTAAATCAACCATGAAAACTGTATTACCACAGTGCCTTGTGCAGGGTAAAGCTCATTACATGTTAATGAATGAAAGTAGTTAAGTAGGTTAGTTTTAGAGTTACACATGACTGGATTGAAGTTCTCTACCTTACTCTTTAAGCTTTACATTGTTTATTTGTAAATCCTGTAAAGTACTTCTTCAACTTAGAACTATTTTGAGGAATAAATGAGAAAATGCATTTATTACATATAGCACTCAATAAAAAGCAGTTTTTTAAAAAAGCAATGTTACAATCCTAAAATGATATATTTAGATATATTTTGGCCATAAATTGGAATACTAGATAGATATTGGGTAGACAGACCTAAGAATTATTGGGTAGGAAGAATCATTAGGAAGACTGGGGACAAGTAGGAGAAAGGAGTCATTTATAGATATGATATAAAATGATATAAAATATAAGATATAGATATAAAAATGGCTTCATACTTGCTGAGTAATGTGTGGTTAAAGACAGGAATGGGGAAGTTAGAAAGGAATATTGGATTGAGGGTGTAAGGCTCTTCATCCTGAAAGGGAAGATTTTCTGGGGAGAAGAGGAGATACAGGATTTGTAGAAGCAAAGATAGAAATTGTATATTAGTTGAAGGGATGGATGAATTAATAAATGAACAGATTAATTCAAGCTTTATTTATTTCTTTATTGGCCACTGGCCAGTATGGGAGTCTGAACCCCTGACCTTGGTGTTACCAGCACCACACTCTCCCAAGTGACAAACTATATTTATTGAGTGCCAGGTACTATGAACTTATTGTCTGGTGGGAGCAGATCCACAATGGTGGCTCCAGAATTCCTATAAAAGAGAAGTTCATGGGTTGAAAAGGGTGAGTAGAGAGGGGTCTGGGTGGGGAATGGGATTTGTTTTGACTCAGTAATCTCTTAGCATTTTATATCAGACTGAGATAATACCAAAGAACAGGGAGGGGCACTGACTGAGATTAGGGAAGGAACTAATTCCCTTCAAGCTAACCCTTGACTCTGCCACTGAGATACTCATTTTAACAGAGCTATAGCATGGAAGCAGGAACATTTAATGAATAAAATCCCTATCCTCATGGAATCTACATTCTAATAGGTAGAAGCAGACAATAAAAAATAGACATATAATATCAGGTAGTGATAAATGTTAGAAAGAAGAATAAGCAGGGCAAGGGACATAATGATGGGGTGAAGGTAAGTGACTTAAGACAAACTCAGTGTTCTTTCCACTAATCTCATAGCCAGCAGAAAAGTAGGGTGTCAAGACCCTCTTACTTTCCAACACGACAGTTCCATTATACTGAAATCTAAATGTTGCAAACCTGTCCATATATTTTTCATTGTCTAATAGCTTCTTTTCCTTCCTAAGTATCTCTGTTGACTTCCCATAGCCCAGAAGTGAGGAGCGAATTTCCCTCCGTAGGTTGAAGAACACGTTAGCAGGCTACACTAAGTTTTTTGTCTTTACTTCCGTAGTGTTTCTGCATTTCACCCAGACACAACTCTTTATACTGTTGTGGTTTTGTTTTTGTTTTCTTTGGCAGCTGGCCGGTACAGGAATCCAAACCCTTGACCTTGGTATTATCAGCAGCACACCCTAACCAAGTAAGCTAACTGGCCACCCCTCCACAATTTTTTAAGCCTTTATTTTCCACAACTTGGCTCACATGTTCTTTTATGTCTCTCCTCTCTCTCTCACTTCCTTCCTTTCTTCGTTTAAGAAACATAGTACCTACTGAGTGCCTGGTTTGGCAGACATTTTGCTAAGTACAGATGACACAGAGAAGAGAAAAAGCAGCCCCAGTTTCTAGAGCTGATAGGTGTACTGTGTGAGGGTGGGGGCTCAAAACGGGGCCTGAAACCCATGATGGCAGAGTAGAAAGTTTGGTTGCTGCTGGGTCTTAGGTGCCTAAGGTGCTGGTTTAAAGTTGATACAATCCTTTGTGCTCTGGAGGGCAATCCGAGGCTTATGAAAAGAGAAATATTAATAAATAGGACTGACTTTCATTAAGGATTTACTGTAGTTTCTCCAAATTTGAAGCACTGGCCACCTCCCACCCTTCAACACCTGAGGCCTAACAGAAGAATGCAGATCCTTGGGAGCCTCTAAGTCTGCTGAATCACAATGTCAAAGGGCGGGGACCAGAAATCTGCAGTTTAATAATGAATTTTTTCAGGCCATTGTTATGCACGCTTAAAACTTGAGAACCACTGGCCTCTCCTGCCTTTTCTCACTTCACCTTCACCTATGTAGGTAGTATTTTTAGCCCTATTTTACAGAGAGGAAACTGAGGCTTAGGTTAATTACTTTGCTAATGTCACACAGAATCAGGACTGGAATCCAGACCTGCTTGAGATGCAGTGTTAGTTTTAAACCTCTCAGTACGTGATCTCCTTTTGCTGAATGATCTGTTGCGAATCCTTCAACAAGCACTGTGCCTGAAGTTTGAAAACTTAGTCTAGAATGCCTACTAAATTTAGTCTGGTGTGTTTGGGCAATTCACTCACATTTTGAATTTCACGTCCCTCGCCTTAGGCAAAACACCCCCACCTGAAGGTGACCTGAGGGGAGGGGCGGGGCAGCAGGGCTGGAAAAGGAGGCGATCGACGACTGCGGCGCGCCGCTGCCTGTTGGATTGGCTCGAGCCTCTCCCGCCAGGCCTGTCCTACTCCCGCGCGCTCCTGGGCCCGCCCCTGCCGCCATCTTGGACTAGGAAGGAGCGGTGCGCACGAGTGATTAAACAGCGCGAGCCAGGAAGGCCGAACTCTGGCAGCGTCCTGGTGCCGAGGGGCAGCGGCGGAGAGGACCCCGTCCAGATCTTCGTACGTTGGAAAAAATATCCGGGTGACGCTGGTAGGCGCGAGGGCCCCGCAGTCTGGTGCGTCCTCCGCCCCCTCGCGGCGAGACGCCTTGCTCTCCCGGCTTCTCCCGCCCCCGCTCCGGTCTCCTCCCTCTGTTGAAAGCTGCCCGGGAAAGTGGTTGGCGGGAGCGGGCCCAGGCCCCTGCGCGGCGTGGGCCCGGGTGCGTGTGGCCGGGCGCCAGACAAGGTTAGCGCTTGGGTTTGTGCGCCGGAGGCCCGGGGTGTAGGTGCGGCGGGGCGGAAGGCCGGGGGCGGGAGTGCGGGTGCGGAGCCCGAGTCTCGCTGGGCCGCCGCGGGGCTGTTTCCATCGGTCACTGGGTTTTCTCTTTCGGTGCGGGCCTCAGGGTGGCCGACATGATGGCCCGGGGTCAGAGCCCCCTCGTGCCGCTGTTGGAGACTTTGGAAGACCCTTCTGCTTCCCATGGAGAGCAGACTGACGCTTACCTGACTCTGACCAGGTGAGGCCTGATGGAGTAGGGGTAGGAGGGCGCTGTGCTGAGGCTTGGGGAGGAAGAAGATGGTTGGGTGGGGTGCGCTGCGTTAGTGAACTCTAAAACTCTGGCAGATGTGAGGACGACAGGGTTGTGGATCAGGTGCGGCGGTGGGGGGGCATGCTAAGTGACGTTCTCGGGTGCTGCTGCAGCTCTTAAGGTGTTAGGAACGAAGGAGCCTGCACGTGTGTATTGCAAGCGAGGGATTCAAGTTTTGGTTGGAAGTCTCTGGAAGAGTTGTTTTCAGTGTATTGGGAAAACGTGGCAACCCAGAATTGATTTTTTACTAGAGCAATAACCTGATTGTAATTTTAATTGCAAAACGCTTTAAGATTTTTATAGAAATTTACTAAACTCTTTATAAAGGTTTGGCAAATTGTTAATAAATTTGTAACTAGGGATGGAGACCCCTGTCCTGTCTTCACATAGTGAAACTGTCAAAACTTGCATACACCGTGGATGCAAAAAGTTATTCTCGGGTCTTTTTTGCACTTATTTCTGGTCTGTGTTGCAGTATACTGTATATCCTTAAGTATCTTAAGGACTAATTCAGTTCATTTGCAAGAGTTCTAAAGTAATCTTTTAAAAGGTACAGGACTTTTTTGTTTTTTCTATTTGCTTGAACTTGTATTCTTTCTGCTTTTTAAGTCGAATGACTGGAGAAGAAGGAAAAGAAATAATTATAGAAATTGAGAAGAAACTTCCTCAGCTGTACAAGGTTTTAAAGGTATGTATCTGTTTATGAAATAGTTTTTCCTTTGGGTGGTTTTAAGAAATTTTACCACCTGATTCATAAAAACTTTGAATCTAAAATAAAACAACAATAATATTGACTGTATTATTATAGTACTATTTATTGGTTACTTAACACTTCACCAGGTACTCTACCTTACAGCTTTCTCTCACTTAATTCTCCATACCTCCATAAGATTACTCTTCAATCCCCACTTTGTAGATGATGAGATTGGTTTAATTTGCCTAAAAGTCACCCAAAGTCACTTGTTCTTTTAACTTGAAAGCAGTGATCAGAGATTATTTAATCTGTTTTCTTTCCTTTTGGGAATGTACTTCTAAATGAGTGATTCTAAAATTATAATGAAAAGTAAAAAAAAAGAAAATTGTAATTATCTTTGGCCTGCTCTCTAGATAGCATCCTTTTTTTTTTAATCTTCACTCACCCTCAATTTTTGCCACTCATTCCTTGTTAGGAAACCGTTATTGTGGTTATTGTTTTTGCTTGTTTACAGGGAGGTGGTTTAGGGCTGGCCCGTGGCTCACTCGGGAGAGTGCGGTGCTGATAACACCAAGGCCCCGGGTTCGGATCCCGTATACAGATGGCCGGTTCGCTCACTGGCTGAGCGTGGTGCTGACAACACCAAGTCAAGGGTTAAGATCCCCTTACCGGTCATCTTTTAAAAAAAAAAAAAAAAAAAAAAAAAGACAGGGAGGTGGTTTAGTGTAATATCAAACTAAGGACCTATGTGCTAACTTGACTACTGAGGGGCTCTGTGACCTTCTGTAACACATAACTTTTTAATTTCCTTGTTTTTAGAATGAAGGGTTGAACCAAATCTCTAACGTCCCTTTGAGTTCATATTTTTATATTGTTTTTGTGCTTTTAAACAAGTATTCTGTCAAAACATTTGTACATTTTATTGTGATTTGTGGCTAAATGTTAAAGCATTTGAGATGCTGTCTACCCTAAGAATTGCTGTCCTAGTCATCAACATTTTTTGTTCATGTAAGCAGGGACTTAATTATGTAGTAATTACTTAAATACTACTAATGGCATATATTGTTTATTATCCCATTATTTTTCATTATTATATTCCACTTTCCAGCAATGTGTATATGTTTTTATTTATTTATTTATTTATTTTGGTGGCTGGCTGTTATGGGGATACAAATCTGTGACCTTGGTGTTATAAGGCTGTGTTCTATCAAACTGAGCTAATCGGCCAGCCCTCCAGCAGTGTATTTGATGTGAAGACATGCACCTTCATATATGTAATACATATGTGATATATCTGAGAGCATATAGGATCAGGAACTCTACTGCATGCATTTTTGAGTCAAGTTGCATGGTTTGTAAATAAGGTTTGTAGTTAAAATGCCTGATGAATTATTTGGAAACTCATGGAACATTGGTAATAGGACAGACAACACAAGCTTTCCAAGTGAATTAAACAATGAAAGAATAATTGAATTCCTTCACAACAGGAACTACACTAGGTAAAATAGAGCATGTTTCTATGTTGCTGTTTAGGAATCCACAACATTCTTGAAGATAAGACGCAATGCTGTTAAGGAACACATTCAAGCAAATATGTTCAATAAAAGTTGATCACAGATGTGTGCTAGTTATCCTGGAGGTAGACTAATAGCTCTTAAGAGCCTTACTTAGTCTGAACTGGTTGCTGTTCTATCTTATACCCTAGGGATTAGTTTTTTGGGGGGTTTTTTTGTTTGATTGATTATGTCTGCTCATATATTTAACTAACATTTGCTATTCTTCCTGGTCAAGAATAACACTAAATTGGGGATTCCTTGGATATTTGATTTAGAGAGATATGGGGTATTTTGAAGATAAATCACTTTGGAATAGGAAATGCTAAAATGAAGAGGGACATAGTGTTTCCTGTAAACTTGAGGGATATATTGAGACTCAAATTGACATATTTGGGCTTTTATAGCTTTTACATATGTGGTGTGGGTTGGGCTTTCAATTCTGATTGACTAAAGTGATTGATTAAAACATTCTTACCTATATAGTAGGGATTTACATTTTTTTTTTTTTACTTTAAGATTGAGATAATGCTCAAAGTTCCTAGCACTATTAGATATATAGTAAATGTTACATTCCAACCCCTTCTCCCAGTCTTTGTGGAAGAGGTGTCACTCCATTTTGAAGCTATGATGTCGGCTTTTGCATTTGAGTCTTTTGCTTACTCTTTGTAGAAGGGCCTTACTCCTTTATTTCCTGTCTAATGTCTTCAGCATCTTTCATCATTTTTCATTGTTTTCACATATGTAGAGATGTCTTATATCTGTTAATAAAAATGTTCTTTAGTTGATCTCTGTCTTTATTTGCCAGCTGTGTATATGCCTCCTGATCTTACTCCTTTTTAACCTACTCACAAAGATTTGTTGATAGGTTAGATTAAAATGTAATGAATTTGCTTGTTTTGTAATCAGCTTTTGCTGTCTACAGCAAATTATTGATTTACAATTGTACTTATTTGTAATAAATATGATTTTGTTTTTGTAGACCCACATTTCCAGTCAAAACTCAGAGCTGAGTAGTGCTGCTCTACAGGCCTTGGGGTTTTGCTTATATAATCCGAAAATTACCTCAGGATTATCAGGTAGATAAATTTGTTATGACTATTAATATTTTTAGACTTTATAAGGACTCATATAAATAATTAGATGCTGTTAAAAGTACTGTTACCTCTGGATTAGTTTCATTACTTGTAGTTCAGAATTTGCTCTTAAGAAAGAAATAATGTTTGGATTATTATCATCTTGATATAGCTTTAACTTTGATACTATAAAATTTTGTCTAAAAAATAAGACTGGAAATGATACGTATTTAGGTGATAGATATGCTAACTCTTCTGATTAGATCATTATACAGATCATTATACATAATATGCATGGGGGGTTTTTGTTTGTTTTGGTTCATTATACATAATATGCATGGGGGGTTTTTGTTTGTTTTGGGTAGCTGGCCACTCCTGGGATCTGAACCCATGACCTAGGGGTTATAAAGCTGTGCTATACTAAATTGAGCTAACTAGCCAGCCCTATGAGCATGTATTGAAACAACAAATTGTACCACAGGAACGTGTACATTGGGAAAAAAAAAAGTTATAACACCAAGGTCAAGGTGGGCTTAAAACCCCCATATGAGCCAGCCACCCTCTCCACCCCCCAAAAATTGTGAAACACCATGTAGGCAATAAAAGTTGGTTCTTAAGGAAAAATTTACTCTGGTTTCTGTTCAGATCATGTAAATCTTTCCTCTTTTACTAAAGATATCCGTGGAGAGGAACAATAAAAATAAAAAATAAGAAATAAGGTTATTTATACATAATGGCTATAAAAACTTTCATTTAGGCATATGCACTAAAGAACATGCTGAATTGTAAAGTTCTTTTACATAGTTGTAAATGTGGGATTATTTGGAACTAAAGATGGTAATGAAAGCATGGAACCTGATGCTTTCCATGTTTTCAAGTAATCTGAACTGTTTGTTGCTTTGTAGTTAGTAGTTTGCCATTGTAAGGGAAACTTAAGAGGTGATCTTTAAAGAGGGGAAATTAAGAATAGAATATATATGGATGTCAGAAAGTGGTTAACATGTTTTGTTCTGAAGGAAAAGTTCTTTAAGTGTTAGCAGACTAACAGGAGTTCTTTTTGGAGCAGAGATTGAGAATTTATAACATTGTTGACAAAAATTTTCTCGTATATTCAAATCTATTGGTGATACCTATACTTTTTTTTATTTGTTTTTGTTTTTTGGTCCCAGTGTTGACCATAATACAGTTATTTCAATTGCACAGAATATCTGATTTGGAGTCTACTTGGTATTTTTCTCTGAAAATGCCTTCCCCTCTGATCTGAAATTTGTGTTTGGGGAAGAAGTTTCATTTCATCAGTGGTTCTCTGATACTTCTGTCTGGATGTATATTTAAGTTTTTGAAGAGTATGTTTCTTTTTGTCCACTTTTAATTTGAGATTTTATTTTTTTTATTTTTATTTTATTTTTTTAAAGATGATCGGTAAGGGAATCTCAACCCTTGGCTTGGTGTTGTCAACACCACGCTCAGCCAGTGAGCCAACCGGCCATCCCTATATAGGATCTGAACCTATGGCCTTGGTGTTATCAGCACCGCACTCTCCCGAGTGAGCCATGGGCCGGCCCCTAATTTGAGATTTTAAAGGGTGTAAACTATTTCACATAATTAAAATCAAAACTTCTTGATTTTCAGAGGCAAATATTCAAGAACTGCTTTCAAAACTGAATGATATTGTTAAGGGTTCAGACAAAAATGTATGTACCAGGGCACTTTGGGTGATATCGAAGCAGACGTTTCCCACTGAAGTTGTTAGCAAAGTGGTGAGTATAGTTTTTATATTTGTCTTCTTACTTAACTATATGCTAATAAAAAGAATGCAGGCTTATTTGACTTGTGTTAATTTTGTTCTGTCTTTTAGGTGTCCAGTATAATTGATTCATTAGAAATAGTATTTAATAAAGGAGAGATGCATTCTGCCATTGTTGATTTTGAAGCAATAAATGTTATCATAAGGTATGCATTTGGATGCTCTGCAATTTGGAAGAATCATTTCAGTAAATTTAGAATTTACTTCAAGGAGTGGACTTTTGGGATTTAAATGAGATAGACATTGAAAGAAGGGAATGTCTTGTAGACTGAAAGACTCAAGAAAAAAAGGTAACAGGAAGATGATGATGTAGATGTGTATAAGTTAATACATTTGCTTATTGTTATTGAGATAGTCTTAAAAGTTAAGTACTGGTTATGGTCCTGCCAATAACACAGTTCTGGTTTAAAAAATTATCTGTTAATGCTTTTGCAAGGGTTTAAAAAATAGTGTAATACTCATAAGTGGGATATAGGGGATGGGATTTTTAGGAAGGCAGTCATAGTGCATTTCAGGGAACAGAAATATCCCTCTTCTCATCCTTGCTCTTTAACAGACATGCTAATGCTTTAAAACTCTGACATGATTTGTTTTCCCTTGTTTGTCATTCTTTAAAATTTTCTTTGGTCATTGAGCTATGTTCTTTAACTCCTTATATTCTGATGCTGTGATGGATACTCAGATTTTTATCACAGTTCTCTGGCTGTCTTCTACAAGATTGTTGAATTTAATAGTATAATGAATTAGTACATTTGGCCCTTTGTTGTGCATCTGCAGATTCAACCAACCGTGGACAAAAATAATCCCCCCCCCCAAATTGCATCAGTACTAAACATGTACAAAGTTGTTTTTCTTGTCATTATTCCCTAAGCAGTACAGTGTAACTGCTGTTTACATAGCATTTGCCTTGTATTAGGTATAATAAGTAATCGAAAGATAATTTAAAGCATACGGGAGAATGCATGTAGATTATATGCAAATACTGTGCCATTTTATACTAGGAACTTGAGCATCTGCAGATTTTGGTATCTTGGGAGGTTCTGGAACCAATCCACCACGGATACCTAGGGACAGCTGTATTTAAAAATTTTTTTGGTCTGAAGATGAGATAAGGTGTCCTCCATATTTAAAAATAAAAACAATAAAGAAATGTACAAAATTAGCAAGCAAAAATTAGATTTCTCGTGTATATATATGTTTATGTATATATAGTATTCTGTGAAAGATTGGCTATACTGTGTGTGTTTATGTGTGTTCCTTATTTTTCTGGTAGTTTATACTTAAAAATTGAGGTCAAGCTAATTTATTTTTTGATATCTCTAATATAGGCTAATTGAGCAAACCCCAATTCAGATGGGAGAAGAGTCAGTGAGGTGGGCAAAACTAGTCATACCTTTAGTGGTTCATTCAGCACAAAAGGTACATTTGCGGGGAGCGACTGCTCTAGAGATGGGAATGCCGTTGTTGCTTCAGAAACAACAAGAAATAGCATCTATTACAGAGCAACTTATGACTACCGTAAGTATTCATGTAAGGATTTTCTGGATATTGCATTAGAAAGTTCCGCACTAAATTTAAAATACTTTCTGGACTCATTGGTATAATTACACTATGTCTTTTTTTTTGTTTGTTTTTTAAAGATGACTGGTAAGGGGATCTTAACCCTCGACTTGGTGTTGTCAGCACCACGCTCAGCCAGTGAGCGAACCGGCCATCCCTACATGGGATCCGAACCCGTGGCCTTGGTGTTATCAGCACCGCACTCTACCGAGTGAGCCACAGGCCGGCCCTATAATTGCACTATGATCTAGGAGTTTAGCTTTGAATTAAAACATAAAGAGTTGCTTAAATTAGTGTAGATATAGTGCTCATACATAACAGTAAAGAAATCTGTCATTTTATTGTTACTACCATCTAGGCATTTTACCCCATCCCCAGTGAATGGTGAATAGAAAGAGATTGTATTTATGAAAAAGGGAGGAGAGCATTAACTGTGTTATCCAAATAGATATAAATTTAATGCACAAACTTATCTGGTTTGTACAATTTTCTAGTTGTTACTTGCCTCAGATTTTAAGTTTTCCAGGCTTTATTCTTGTAACATTAATCGGGCAACTAACTGTTCTGTGCAGTGCATTGTTAGGCATTGTGAATATAGTGAACAAAAGGGGCTTTTGGAGCTTAGTTTCTAGTGGAGAAAGAAAGTATATAGTGTACTAAGTGACACATGCTATAGAGAACAGCAGGGACTGGATAGAGAGTGCCGTCAGAGAGGAATGGTGAGGTGGTCAGAGAAGGTAAAAGAAAAGGACATTTGAACAGTGATTTGAAGGCAGTACTAGCATTAGCTATGTGAATAATGTGAGATAAGCTCATTCCAGGCAGGGGAACCAGTGAGAGCAAAAGGCCTTCCTCTTATGGTTGTGTACCTGCTTGGTGTTGAGGGAACACTGTGGGCAGTGTGACAGCAGTGGAGTGAATGTGGATGAGAGGAGTGGGAGGTGATGTCAGAGGAAGAGAGGACCAAATCACAAAGGACCTTGGTTTTTGCTCTGAGTTATTTGAAAATCCGTCCTTGAAGGTTTTGAGCCTAGGAGTGATATATTAACTTGGGTTTCAAAGGATCACTCTGGCTGTGTTGAGAGTAGACTGTAGGGTAGGTGGTTGAGTAGGAACAGAGAGACCAGCTAGAAGGTACTGCAATAATCCAGGCAGTAGGGGAGCCTTCCAGATTCTAAAACCTGGGATTTCGTTTATTTTTTAAAATTCAGGAGGCCTCTTGGTAATGTTTAGCATGTAGTAAAGTAACTTCAATATCTTTGTGAATTGTTTCATTCTGATAAGTTCACTCACTTTTAATAGCATGTATAAAATTCTTTATAAATTTGAACTAAAATTTTCTCAGGTGTCTGTTGTCTATGAAGCTATTAATTAGTAATCTATGGTTTTAATTACTAGTGTGCAAAGATTAATATGTTATCATTTGAACTGTAGTTAATGATGTGCATGCCGAAGTTTTTAGAGGAAAGTATATTGATAGAAAAAATAAGCTGGATGGTAGGGTGGCCAGATATGTGATAAGACAAACAGTAAAATGTTGATGGTAGAATCTAGTTGTTTGTATGAATATTCATTGTGAAACTTTTAGATTTGCTATAATGCTTTTAGAGTTTGTCTTTGGATTTTGGCGGGGGGTGGAGTGTTTTGGATTTTGACTGAGAGAATCAGTTTTTGAAAATTAATTCTTGACTTCGATACTGGATATTTTTTTGGTAAGTATTTTTGCTTTTGTTTGCAGAAATTGATCTCAGAACTCCAAAAGCTATTTATGAGTAAAAATGAGACTTATGTCTTGAAATTATGGCCTTTGTTTGTCAAACTTCTTGGAAAGGTAAGTGACACAGTTAATGGTCCACAATTTTTACACTCCAGACCCTCTCTTTTTTTGGGGGGGGGGCGGGGGGTGTCTGGCTGGTACAGAGATAGAGCTCTGGACCTTGATGTTATCAGCACCATGCTGTAACCAAATGAGCTAACCAGCCAGCACCTGGAGTCTTTCGTTTCTTTACTCTTCCTTAGTACAGTTGATCCTTATTGTTCATACATGCCTGGTTTGCAAATTTGCCTGCTCACTAAAATTTATTTGTAAACCTGAAATCAGTACTTGTGTTGCTTTTGCTGTCATTTGTAGACACACAGAATGGCAAAGAATTTGAGTCCCCAGCAGATGTTCCAAGCTGAGTTTAAGCAATGTTACACTTAGCCTTTTTGTTTTTAGCTCTTGTACTTTAAACAAGCGTTCTTTTCGTGGTCCATTTAGTGCCAACGTTTTTCATATTTTTTGGGCTTTTCTTGGTGATTCCACTGCTTAAAATGTCCCCCAAGTGTAGGGTTAAGTGCTGTCTAGTTACTGTTCCTAAGTGTAGAAAGGCTGTGATGTGACCTATGGAGAAAAATGTATGTTAAATAAGCTTTGTTTAGGCATTTGTTGGCCATTAGTTTAATGTTAGGGAATCAACAATATAAAATAATGCATTTTTAAAAAACAAAGCAAGGTTATATGTTGAACAGCTGACAAAAGCAAGCTTTGTTTAGGCATTTGTTGGCCATTAGTTTAATGTTAGGGAATCAACAATATAAAATAAGGCATTTTTAAAAAACAAAGCAAGGTTATATGTTGAACAGCTGACAAAAGCTGTATGACCAGAGACTCAAACCTAACCCTGTATTTCCCATAGGAGGAGCGATGGCTCAGTATTTGCTAATTTAGTGTTTGAGGCAACCATAGAACTTAACTATAGAAAGTAATTAGAATCAATTGTATGTTCAGTCATTATCTAAGCCAGTATTTTTTAGGGTGGGTTGTACTTTTTTATGCGGTAAATAAACATAAGTGGTTTAACCATTCCTAAGTGTATAGTGCAGTGGCATTAAGTACATTCACAATATTGTGTAAACATCACTATTTATACCCAAAACATTTTCATTACCCCCAACAAAAAACTGTACACATTAAGTGATAACTCTTACTCTTCTCGCCCCCCAGCTCCTGGTAATCTCTATTCTACTTTCTGTCTTTATTAATTTGCTTATTCTAGGTACCTCATATTAGCGGAGTCATAAAAAATTTGCCCTCCTTTGTCTGACATATTTCATTAATCATGTTTTCAGAATTCATCCATGTTGTAGCAGATTATTAAAATTTAATTCCTTCTTAGGAATGAATAATACTCCATTGTATGTATATGCCACATTCTGTTTATCTGTTCATCTGTTGATAGAAATTTGGGTTTTTGGCAGTTGTGAATAATGCTGCTGTAAATATTGGTATATAAAGACCTGTTGGAGTCCCAGCTTTCGGGTTTTTGGATATATACCTAAAAGTGGAATGCTGGGTCATATGGTAATTCTATTCTTAACTTTTGAGAAATCACCAAATTTTTTCAACCAGAAGCTGCTCCGTTTTACATTCCCACCAGTAACATATTAGGGTTTCAATTTCTCAGGATCCTTCCTATCTCCCTTTATTTCCCACTTTTTTGATCATAGCCATTATAGTGGGTGTGAAGTGGGATCTCAAAGTGGTTTTAATTTACAAATACTCCATTCTGTAGGTTGCCTTTTTGTTCTTGTGATGGTATCCTTTGCACAAAAGTTTTGATTTCTTTTCTTTCTTTCTTTTTTTTTTTTCTTTAATAAAAAGATGACTGGTAAGGGGATCTTAACCCTTGACTTGGTTTGTCAGCACCACGCTCTCCCAAGTGAGTTAACCGGCCATCCCTGTGTAGGGATCTGAGCCCGTGGCCTTGGTGTTTTCAGCATCACACTCTCCCAAGTGAGCCATGGTCCAGCCCTAAAAGTTTTGATTTTGATAAAGTACAATATATTTTTGAGTTTTATAGTTATTGAGTTTAGATTTTTGAACCATTTTGAGTTAAATTTTGGATATGGTATAAGGTAAACATCTACCTTCATTCTTTTTCATGTGGTTGTTCAGTTTTCCCAGAACCATTTGTTAAAGAGACGGTTTTCCTGTTGAATGGTTGTAGCACCCTTGTCAAGTCATTTGGACATAGGTATGGGATTTATTTCTGGGCTTAATATTCTATTTATTACCATATGTGTTAATTATTGTAGTTCTGTAGTAAGTTTGGAAGTCAATAAGTGTGAGTCTTCCAATTTTATTCTTTTTCAAGGTTGTTTTGGCTATATGAGGCTCTTGGCAATTCCATATGAATTTGAGGATTAACTTTTCTGTATCTGTGAAAAAAAAGGCTATTTGGAATCTGGGTAGGGATTGCATTGAATCTGTAGATTGTGTTGCATAGTTGACATTTTAACAGTGTTAAGTCTTCCATATCCACAAACGCGGCTGTTTTTCCATTTGTTTAGATCTTTAATTTCTTTCAGCAATGCTTTGTATTGAATCTGTAGATTGTGTTGCATAGTTGACATTTTAACAGTGTTAAGTCTTCCATATCCACGAACGCGGCTGTTTTTCCATTTGTTTAGATCTTTAATTTCTTTCAGCAATGCTTTGTAGTTTTCTTTCTTTCTTTTTTTTTTTTTTTAAAAGATGACCGGTAAGGGGATCTCAACCCTTGACTCGGTGTCGCCAGCACCACGCTCAGCCAGTGAGCGAACCGGCCATCCCTACGTGTGATCCGAACCCGGGGCCTTGGTGTTACCAGCACCGCACTCTCCCGAGTGAGCCACGGGCTGGCCCAATGCTTTGTAGTTTTCATCATGCAGATCTTTCACCACTTTGGCTAGATGTATTCCTGAGTATTTAATTCTTTTAGGTACTATGTAAATAGAATTGTTATTTTCCTAATTTCCTTTTCAGGTTGTTCATTGCTGGTGTGTAGAAACAACTGCTTTTCATGTGTTGATCTTGTTCTGTGCAACTTTGTTGAATTCATTAGCTCTAGTAGTTTTCCTGTGAATTCTTTGTAATTTGCTAAGCCAGTTATTTTGTTGTTGTTACTGTTTACACTATTAAGCTTATATGTGGTTTATAGCCTCCTAGGACTGTTAAGGTATATGTAATTTTGTGATGCACTGTTTATCATTTATCCATTTGCACTTTATTTTCCTTTTCGTTTGATATTATCTCCATTTGAAGATATATAATATTTGGAAGTATTTTAGAAGTGGTCCAGTTTTCCTGATTTTCATTTCATTTTTATCATTAAGAGATATTTCCATTTTCTACATTTCTTTCCCATTTATAAAATTATCTTTCCTTAACTAATTTTCCTTTTCTATTTCAGGCTGTTTGAAAAAGTTGTTTTATTTCAGGGTTCTTTTTTCTCTAATATTGATTAGGTTTTTTTCGTATAGATAACTTATTTTCTTTGGTATTACCTTGATAAAATTAGGGGTTTATCTACCTTCTAAATTTTCTCTAATCTTTTAGAAGAGTTCTGTGTTAATGCATAGTCTACTTCATTGAGCATTGTTTTGTTTTGTGTTCTCAAATTTTGAATGTATATACAGAATTCATTTTTTTCTTTTATTTATTTATTTATGCATTGTTTTGTTTTGTGTTCTCAAATTTTGAATGTATATACAGAATTCATTTTTTTCTTTTCTTTCTTTATTTCTTTATTTATTTGTTTATTTTTAAAAGATGACCGGTAAGGGGATCTTAACCCTTGACTTGGTGTTGTCAGCACCACGCTCACCCAGTGAGCCAACCGGCCATCCCTATATGGGATCCGAACCCGGGGCCTTGGTGTTATCAGCACCGTACTCTCCAGGGTGAGCCACGGGCGCTTTTTCTTATATTTAAATTCCTAAGACTTTACCTATCTTAAAATGCTTAACACATCTTTTTACATTTTGTTGGCAGTTTGCCTTTTATCTCCTTGTTAGATTATGAACTTCCAAGAGTATATATTCAGTGAATGAATAGATAAATGAATGATAATAGTGGCCATATTTCATTTCATACATTTAAATGACTTTATGATTTTCCATTTTTTAGACCTTGCATCGAAGTGGGAGTTTCATCAATTCTCTATTACAGCTGGAAGAACTGGGGTTTCGTAGTGGAGCACCCATGATTAAAAAAATAGCTTTCATTGCTTGGAAGAGTTTAATAGATAATTTTGCTTTAAATCCAGGTAAACAAATAATTTAAAACATTTGATTTTCTATGAATTCATTTTACTTAGATAAAAAATGAAGTTTTTCTGATTCTTTAGACTTTATATTGAAACTTAGCTATCACTGAATTTTATTTTAAGGGAGCAGGAATAAATTTGTAGCTAGATAGAATTCAAAGGCTAGACATTATTAAATCACAAATATAAAATTTGTCTTAAGTTGTCTGAAAAAGCTAAACAGTGAAAAATATCATTTGTGGCTTTCTTACTATGCACAGTAGGTCTTCAAAAATTTCATGTAAAGATTCATACTATCTTTTAGTTCAATTTTCCACAAATTTTTTGAAGTACCTTGTATGTTGTAAGCACAAAGTTGAGTTCTTTATGCACATTTTATTTAATCACAATAGACCTGAGATTTAAGTATTATTACTTAGTTTAGGGAGATTAAGTAATTTACCCCAGGTCACAAAGCCAGTAGATGATAGTAAATAATTATGATTAGCAAGGAATAATAATATCAGTGCTGGTAACTTTTTTTTTTTTCAAGATCTCTAGAAAAGTACCTAATAGTGGGTTAACATTAATATATGACAGTGATTCATTTTAATTACCTTAACCATATCCTCCTATTATCCAGTGAAGTTGTTTGATATGTATTTATGATGAAGAGTGTTTAGCTCAAAAGTAAGTTAGTGTGTACTTAACACTGGGTAGATTTAATCAATACAGTATGCTTATAAGATCATCTAAGTAATTTTAATTTCATATTATATTTTTTCCTGGCAAAGACCATTAATTAATAAGGCTGGCCAGTTAGTTTAGTTGGTTAGAGCGTGGTGCTAGTAACATCAAGGTTCAGGGTTCAAGGATTCAATCCCAGTATTGGCTGGCCAGCTTCCAAGAAAAAGAAAAGAAAAAAAAAACCCAAAGACCATTAATCCATTTTCTTCCCCTTTTAAATGTGTTTTATAAGGTGATTATTTGCATTAACTATACAGTTCACCCTTGAACAACACTGGTTTGAAATAAAAGGGTCCACTTCTATATGGATTGTTTCCAATAAATGTATTGGAAATTTTTTTTGAGATTTGCAACAATTTGGAAAAACAAATCCTATAGCCCAGAAATAATGAAAATTAAGAAATAGTTAGGTATGTTATGAATGCATAAAATATATGTAGATTTTACTAGTCTTATTTTATCTATTACCATCAAATATACACAAATCTATTATAAAAAGTTAAAATTTGTCAAAACTTAGGCACACCAGCAAAGACTGCACGTGGTGCCATTTACAGTTGAGAAATGTAAACAAAGATGCAGTATTAAATCACTGCATAAAATTAACTAGTACATACTGTACTACTGTAATTTCATAGCCACCTTCTGTTGCTATTGAGGTGAGCTCAAGTGTTGCAACTATCCATTTTAAAATGCCACGTGATTCCATCTTCACGCGAGCAGTTCCCTCCAGGAAATTGTGTTTAGCAATAAAAAGAGAACTCATGGTTTTATCTTCCTTATGGTTTTCTTAGTAGTTTTCTTTTCTCTCATTTTATTGTAAGAATACAGTATATAATACATATAGCATACAGAACATGTGTTAATCGACTTTACATTATCAGGAAGGCTTCCAGTCAACAGTGGGGTATTAATAGTTAATTTTGGGGAAATCAAAAGTTATGTGTAGTTTTTTTTCTGGCTGTGCGGGGGGGTTGTTGCCCCTAACCCCTGCATTGTTCAAGAGTCATCTGTAATGACTTATTTAAAATACTGGTAAAAGTACATTTTGGGGTACAAATTTTAATTGAAATATCACTCATATTTTTTGGTTTATGAACTGGCAGGTATTTTGGTATATTCTATATACCCAGTGGTATGAGGCAGTATTTAGGACTAAAATCTGTTGGAATTATGTATGGTTGCATATAAAAGCATAAAATACTGACTTAAAAAAATGAAATGCTATGGTAGTTGGAATAAGTTTGGAGCTAGAGAGTCTGTGACTGGTATTATGGATCGAGGAAGTCATCAAGGAATTAGACGTCTGTCTTGCTATTCTGTCATCTTCTATATGTCTAGAGGCAGACTACAAGAAGGTGGGAAGGCAGAAGAGCAGAAAGAACCACTCAAGTCAGCTTGAAAGAACCCTATAAAGAGCCTTCCAAGAATCTCACATATGCTTCTACTTCAATCACATTGGGTAGAATGGCTAAATGGCAGAAAGTAGTAGAAAAAGTAGTAAAAAAATTTTTTAAGAAGTAGGAAAAGTAGTAAAAAATTGGGCACCCATCACTTCAATCACATTGGGTAGAATGGCTAAATGGCAGAAAGTAGTAGAAAAAGTAGTAAAAAATTTTTTAAGAAGTAGGAAAAGTAGTAAAAAATTGGGCACCCATTACTGTTCTGAGTAAAATCAGATTTTATAATAAAGGAAACTGGTTTATTGCATGACAGTAATCTCACCTACTGTACGGATATTATTGTGGAGTCCCTCTCATGTATAGAATAGGAGTTTAGAAAAGGAAGTTTCCTGGCCTGGAGAACTTGTTACCCCAGTGAACTGACTTTTTTTTTTTTTTTTTTTGATAGAAGTGTTAATTGAAATAGCTAAATGGCAGAGTGGTTGTAAGAAACGTTGATGAATGCCATTCCACCAAATAACATGGCTTGACTGATGTTTCAAATTCTTTCTCAAGTCTTTTTGACAAGTTACTTGAGCACAGAGTATGTCTTAATTTTATGTATCCCCAGTCCTACTCAAATGTTACACCACATCTGGCATAAGTGTTTTGTTTAAAGAATTGGATTTTGTTTTCAGCTGAATTTTAACAATCTGATCATCATTGAGTTAGGATAGACCTGAATCTAAACAAATCTATTTAGGCTTTCAAAATATAATCAGTGGCCCCAACAGTAGTGATGTGTGTTGGAATAAATTACTAATTGATTTGTTGAATTACAGCCTTTTTAACACAATGTAAAAATATGCCCCCGTTTCTTTGGGTAAATGGAGGTAATAAAGCTAAAGCAGCTAGGACAGTGTATCTCAATATTTTGTCATTTTGTGCTGGATATTTTGTTGAGGACTGTCCTGTGTGTTGCAGGAAGTTTAGCAGTATCCCTGGTCTCTGCTAGATGTTTAGCAGTATCCCTGGTCTCTGCTAGATGTTTAGCAGTATCCCTGGTCTCTGCTAGATGTTTAGCAGTATCCCTGGTCTCTGCTAGATGTTTAGCAGTATCCCTGGTCTCTGCTAGATGTTTAGCAGTATCCCTGGTCTCTGCTAGATGTTTAGCAGTATCCCTGGTCTCTGCTAGATGTTTAGCAGTATCCCTGGTCTCTGCTAGATGTTTAGCAGTATCCCTGGTCTCTGCTAGATGCCAGTAGCATCCCCCCAGTAGTAACCAAAAATATTGAAGACATTGCCAAATATCCCCTGATGAGAAATTCACCCCTTGTTCATAGTATCTAAACGAAAATAGACACATATTAATGGTGATCATCTCTGCTTGGTGTTTTTTTTTTTTTTTTTTTTTTGATAGAAGTGTTAATTGAAATAGCTAAATGGCAGAGTGGTTGTAAGAAACGTTGATGAATGCCATTCCACCAAATAACATGGCTTGACTGATGTTTCAAATTCTTTCTCAAGTCTTTTTGACAAGTTACTTGAGCACAGAGTATGTCTTAATTTTATGTATCCCCAGTCCTACTCAAATGTTACACCACATCTGGCATAAGTGTTTTGTTTAAAGAATTGGATTTTGTTTTCAGCTGAATTTTAACAATCTGATCATCATTGAGTTAGGATAGACCTGAATCTAAACAAATCTATTTAGGCTTTCAAAATATAATCAGTGGCCCCAACAGTAGTGATGTGTGTTGGAATAAATTACTAATTGATTTGTTGAATTACAGCCTTTTTAACACAATGTAAAAATATGCCCCCGTTTCTTTGGGTAAATGGAGGTAATAAAGCTAAAGCAGCTAGGACAGTGTATCTCAATATTTTGTCATTTTGTGCTGGATATTTTGTTGAGGACTGTCCTGTGTGTTGCAGGAAGTTTAGCAGTATCCCTGGTCTCTGCTAGATGTTTAGCAGTATCCCTGGTCTCTGCTAGATGCCAGTAGCATCCCCCCAGTAGTAACCAAAAATATTGAAGACATTGCCAAATATCCCCTGATGAGAAATTCACCCCTTGTTCATAGTATCTAAAAAATATTACTTTTTTTTGGTATATATTATTGCCTTATTTAAGTGTTTTTGGTCTAGTTTGGTCTAGGTGAAAGTTTTAGTAGAGCAAGAACAGCCTGGTGATTTATTTTTTAATTTTTTAATCTATTCTCTTGTAAAAGGGGATATTATTGCATTTTTCATTCTTAAAATTTATTCTTTAGCTCTTAAATCTAAACTGTTTATTTTCTTTTAAGATATACTGTGTAGTGCAAAAAGACTCAAGTTGTTAATGCAGCCTTTGAGTTCCATCCATGTGAGGACAGAAACTCTAGCATTAACAAAACTAGAAGTCTGGTGGTATTTACTGATGAGACTTGGACCTCATCTTCCTGCTAATTTTGAACAGGTAATGTAACAAGTGTTGACTATAGCACTTTTTTTTTTATTAATGTGTTCTTAAATTCTTACCAGTTTAATCTTTTAGTGTTATTTTTGTTATGGATTAACAGACTACAATATATAAAAGATCTTTTTTGCTCCTGGCACAGAACTTGAGTTTATTACCTTCAAAGGATATTCATCAATTGCCTGAAATGGAGCTCCCAAAGCCTTTTCAATCAGCAAACACTCAGATATCTCTTCTTACCCTAGTAGCATTATGATTTTAAAAAGGAACTTTTTTCTGAAAGGTTTAGAATATAATTGAGAATAAAATCAACATCAGTGAAATAGAAATCAAGTGTTACACTGGGTAGACATAAAGTTGGATCAATTTTTATTTCTTTTTCGAGGCTACGTAGTGATAACTAATCATTTAATTCCATTATCTGTTGTTGTTACAGATGATTTTACAGATTCCTTTGGGTTTTGATATCCTTATTGGCATTTAGATATAAAGTTTAATCTAAATTTTTTTTGCAATTCTACCCTTGGTTTTTGAATTTTTTTTTTTTTAACAGTTAAATGAAAAGAGGTAGATCTGATAACTTATGTTTTCTCATTTATTGCTTATCTTGGATTTTGGGGTACATTTTATTTGTGGACCTGTAATCTGTAGTCCTGTTTTCTGTATAAATTGCACAGCAGGGAGTGCATTCTTGGAAAGGGGGCCTTAAAAGTAATGAACTTGCGCCATTTGTAGTAAGTTTTTAAGTTTTTGATATATTGAGGCTTTTAAACTTGATATAACTTGAAGTAATTGAAGATGGGCTTTGGTAGTTATATATAATTGGGATTATAATGAGTTTTTCAAATCCTATCATTATAAGGATCTCATAGGCTAATATTATCCAGTTGTCCAACACATCCAGTTGTCCAGCACATTAATTGGAATAATTTATTCACTGACTAGATGTGACTGGTACTGGAACGATTTTAGAAATGAGCTTTGTCTTAGTTCATATTTTCTAGAGTGTTGTTTTTAAAAGTTAAGCAAGTCTACTAATAGCGTGTAAAACTTAGGCATTATTTTAAAAGTTGTTTACATGTATAATTTTTTGTCTGGGATTTAGAACTGAAATATACAGATAATACACATTTAGGACAAATATAGTTGTAATAAAACTTTTCATTTTCCCAAATTTCATTTTTTAGCCTGTGCATGGAAACAACTAATAAAGTTTAATATGTCAGAAGAATTAAGATTGCTTTTTAAAGAAATTTAACTATATTATATGAGGCTTTTTAAAAATATGACAACCATACAGTTTACAGATAGAAATTATTCCTTTTTTCACCCTAATAGGTTTGTGTGCCTCTGATTCAGAGCACAATAAGCCTTGAATCTAATGCTTCTCCTCAAGGCAGTTCATCTCGTGTGGCTACTTCTCAAGGTTTAAGTCCTATGACTCCTATACACAAAGGTAAGAGGGAGACATTCTTTTTTTTTTTTTTTTAAAAAAAAAAGATGACCAGTAAGGGGATCTCAACCCTTGGCTTGGTGTTGTCAGCACCACGCTCAGCCAGTGAGCAAACCGGCCATCCCTATATGGGATCCGAACCCGTGGCCTTGGTGTTATCAGCACCGCACTCTCCCGAGTGAGCCACGGGCCGGCCCAGAGGGAGACATTCTTGTGTGTGTGTGTGTGTGTGTTTTTTTTTTTAAGGCTTTTTTAAAAAAGCCTTCCAATGAAAGTTACACTCAGGGTTTTTCACATGAAATGGAGCACTTCATAATTTCTGGGTTCCTTATCAAGAAATCAATTTCTTATTTTCTTTATGATACTGTTTACTGTTTTAAGTGCATTGTTGTGATTGGAAAAGATGTTTTTCTACTATATTACATGAGGTGCATTACAAACAGCTCCAAATGACTATCATGAAATTCTGCGTTTGTTTCAGAAATAGAATCTTAGAGCTATTATTAAAAACAACAGATCTTAGCAGATATAAGAAATGTGATATTATATATATTACTGAAAGACAGTACTTGTATTTGCTATTTATTACGGTTTTATGTTAGCTATTCTAAGTCTTAAATTTTTACATATAAGTTACAGAAAGACCTGCATATTAATATTTCAGTGTATGGATTAATGCCTTAGAAATTTAAACTATGTTTATTTTTAAGGTACATTTTATTGTAATGAAATAAAATATACGCATTTGGGTAGCTAATATAAAATAAGCTTACGTGACTTACCCTTTCTTTTTTTTTTTTTAAAGGTGCTTCTCCATATGGAGCCCCTGTAACTCCCCGGATGAATTTGAGTTCGAGTTTAGGTGGAATGGGCACAATCCCTTCCATTCAACTTTTGGGACTTGAGATGTTGCTTCATTTTTTGTTGGGTCCAGAAGTCTTGAGTTTTGCTAAGCAAAACAAAATAGTACTCAGCTTAGGTATTTAATTGTTTTAAAAATAATTTTAATTATTGAAACAATCCAGAACTCAATGTGTTAGGGTGAGGTGTGTTGGGGTGAGGAGAGGTGTTGTTTTTCCCAGGGCCAAAAAATTCTGTAACTATGTATATAATTATAAATCTTCTTAATAGAAAACACATTTATCTAGACTATTTAAAATTTTATATTGAGAAATTTATTTCATATATCTTTTGTCTAATTCTTTTATTCCCATTTTAGAGCCACTGGAACATCCGTTAATCAGCAGCTCTTCTTTTTTTTCCAAACATGCAAATACACTTATCACTGCTGTTCATGATAGCTTTGTTGCAGTTGGAAAAGATGCTTCTGGTAAATATTTAGGAGAAATTTTTTTATTATTTTTTCAAACCCGTGTTTGAAAAAAAGATAAAGTAGCATATATTTATATGGCACCACTTACTGGCCAGATGGTCCACCAAGAGCTTTACATGTATTGATTCATTTAATTCTTGAAGCACCCTTCTATATTAGTCCATTTTACAAATGTGGAAACTGGGTTGTACAGAGAAGTAAATAACTTTGTACAAAGTCACATAGTGAGTGGGAGCTGTGATTCATGCCCAGGATCTGTGTGGCTCCAGCATCTGCATCCAAACTCCTGTGTTCTATAGCCTATTAAATTATGAGGAAAAGAAATTTCAAAACTCAAATAGTTTGGTGTGTAACTGGTTGGAAAATGAATACAAAATTTTTTTCTATTCGTTGTCAGGTATCCTTCTGAATCTTTGTTTTTTGTTATCTCAAAAGTGATGGGTATTCAATATAGAAAATTCAGATGATAGAAAAAAGATAGAGCAGTTACCCTTAATTAAACAATTATGTTAACATGTTATATAGTCCTTTTAAAAAACCCATTTAATTTCTTGAAACAAAAATGAGATGGGTAGTGTTTCATAAACTTATCACAAGGTTGAATATTACAAGAAATAGTCTTAAGTTATAAAATATTGCTCAATTTGTTATTTTTGTAGTATTAGGGGATAACCTTTGTAGTCATGTACTTCATTAAAAATACTTAAGTTTATTTTGTTTGGCAGATGCAGTTGTCAGCGCTATCTGGAAGGAGCTAATTAGCTTGGTGAAGTCAGTTACTGAATCAGGTAAACACCGATTATACTGATCAAATGATTTTTATAGCACCACTGAATTGTTTGGCTTTAAATTTTTTTATAAAATTTATTTTAAAATTATTTTTTGTAGTATTATAGCTTCCAAGCATACTTTGTTGTTTTTTTCCCTAAGCATACTTTAAACAATCTCTTATCTTTGAGTAAAAATTTTATTTTTTGCAGTTCTCTAAGTATATACATTCACTTTTAAAAATACTTAATGCTTAGAACTACACCCTTATCTTTGCTGTTTGATAGGTAACAAAAGAGAGAAACCAGGTTCTGAAGTTTTGACCCTCATACTGAAATCTTTGGAAAGCATAGTGAAGTCAGAAGTATTTCCTGTATCAAAAACACTGGTAAGAACAATACTTGTACATTGGACTTTAAAACTCATGCTGAAATTGAATTTTAGGTTGAAGGTATTTGTACATACTAGGTTTGGAGGACTTATTTTTATGTCAACTGTTTATTAGCAAGTTAGTCCTGTTATAATAAATGCTGTCCTATTGACTTTAGAGCCATTTGAAACCTTTCTAATACAGTAAGTGACTATAAAGCAACTATAAAAATCTTCAATATGATAAGAAAAAGAATCAGCCATACAGAGAAAACGGGGTAAAGAACATGAAACTTGAACTGAAGGAACCCAAAAGTCCACTAATTTTATAACAAGATGGCTGAGTGCCACTAATTGTTAGCTGGTACATTGTTAAGTTAACTCTCTTTAACTAAGGTAATGACTTTGGTATTAAACACATTTTTAGACATTTTTAGTAGAGGAGGAAAACTGAATTGGGTATAATTTTTATAATAGTGAGTTTTCCTAAATAAACTGCAGATGGAACAAACAATACCCTATTTAAATTCTGAGTCTGTAACCTTTATGTACTGTGAGAATTGTTTTATGGCAGTGTTGCGTAATGGTTAATAGCAAGGTCTCTGGAGCAGACTAGGTTGAATCTTGGCCCAACTTTTTTTTATATTTATATGTATAAGTTTATTATTATTATTTTTTTGGTGGCTGGCTGGTACACGGCCCAACTATTTATTAGCTGAGTGATTTTGGACAATTTATTTACTCTTTTAGCCTCACATGACCTCTTTTGTAAAGAGGGAATGTAGTAGCAGTTAATGATTAAGTGAGTTGATACATACAAAGCACTATGGGCCAGGAACAAAATAAATGCTATTTTCACTAAGATCTATCACTAACACTCTTAGTCATACTGTTATGACATTTATATAGTGCATGTTCATAGTAGTATAGTAACATTTATGCAGAGCAATTCGATAGTCTTAGTCAGATTTTAGTTAACAGTCTTTTGAAATGTGCGCTTTGGGCACTAGTGAGTATATAGTTAATTGCAGAATTTCTTTTAGAAGTATAAAAATATACAAATAGCCCCAAGGTCCATTAATAGAAAAATGGTTGAATAAATTATAGACATTTTTATAGCAGTATCTATATGTTGATGTGAAAATTTCATAAGGTAAAATGTAGGTTAGTAGCAAAGTTTAATATCATTAGTGATTTACACACAATATAATGTTAATGGTTTAGAAGAATATATATAATAGCCAGCCCATAAAATTAAGTTTCTCTGTATACTTATTATATGGAAATTTAGAAGGTCTGGGAAAATAGACTCTAAGCTGAAAGCATTGATGATTCCTGGAGATAAAGGACTTTGTCATTTTACTTTCTATATTTCTGTGTTTGAGCTTTTTAAATTAATTTGAATATATTTGATGTTTTTGAACTAGTGAGAATGTATTTACATTAATGAATGAACATTACTTATAATAAATTGTTAAAAATGTAGTTAACACCAGCAGACTTATACTAAGTAAAGTAATATATTTATGGCTAATTTACTGTAAAACCTTTTATCTTTCTTAGGTTCTCACGGAAATTACAATTAAAGGACTACCTCAGAAAGTATTAGGTTCACCGGCATATCAGGTTGCTAATATGGATATTCTTAATGCAAGTATCTTAAATGTAATGATATGATAAAGATTGGCCAAAAAAATTTTATGAAGTTTCTTTAAGAAAAAAAAAAGTGACACTTAGATAATAAAATTCTGAGTATTGGATTTGTACATTTTGACCAAGTTAAAAGAAAAACTGATAGACAAAATAATAGATTAATAAAAAGAATTAAATATGGTACTATGTGAGGAATGAAAACATTTTCCTGGACTAAATAAAGGGCTTCATGCTCGAATTGGCTGCACATGTACTAAAATTGGAACTATAGAGAAAAGATTAGCATGGCTTCTGCACAAGGATGACACAAATTCATGAAGTGGGAAAAACAAAGGGCTTCAGAAGGGAAGTTTTCCTACACGTTTGTAATGATTGTGCTGGTTACTGTTACAAATTTTGGAAGCTTAGGAACTTTATCTTAGTAATGTGGAAAGTACTTAGTATTTGCAGGATGTAGTTATGGTCCAGCAAGCTTTAAGCTAACATTCTTGTTATTTATTTATTTATTTTTGGCAGCTAGCCAGTAGAGGGATTGAACCCTGGACCTTTGTGTTATATCTTGATTTCTCACATTGGTGGAAAAGCTACGATTAGGATATGAGGAGCTTGATTTTTGTGTATAGTTTACATTAGCTATCATTTTTGTCATATTCTAAGTAATGTCAAAAGTTAAATTTCTTGAGGCTGGCCAGTTAGCACAGTGGGTTAGAGCATGGTGGTGATAATTCTGAGGTCCAAGGTCTCATCCCTGTATCGGCCACTGTCAAAAATGAAGTTAAATTTCTCAAGCGAAAATAATCATTTCTCATATAACTGACTGTAGCAAACAAGTGCACTTTTTTTTGTAACTGAAAAGATTCATTCTTTTTCAGGGAACTCCGGCTTTGTTCTTAATTCAGTTAATTTTCAACAGTAATTTTTTGGAATGTGGTGTAGCAGATGAAAAGTAAGTTGGTATTTTAAATAACCTGAAACTACGTTGTTTATCTTGGGAAGGTTATGTAATGATTGCGATTCTCTTGATTTATATACTATTTCATAAATTTTTTAAAAAATTAGATTCAGGGGGCCGGCCCGGTGGCGCGCTGCTACAGTGTGCCGCTTGGGAAGCGCAGCAGCGCTCCCGCCGAGGGTTCGGATCCCACATACGGACCGGCCGCTCACTGGCTGAGCGAGGTGCGGGAGCAACACCGAGGGTTGCGATCCCGTTGCTGGTCCCGGTCCGGTACGGGTGCGACACTGAGGGTTGCGATCCGTTGCCGGTCATGAAAAAAGACAAAAAGGGGAAAAAATAAAAAAATAAAAAATTAGATTCAAAATAAGACTTAGAATTCATTTTTTGTTTCCTTGTCAGTTCTTATTTTTAGAATTTTGTTAACATGCAATTAAAGTATTTCTGTAAAAGGTACAGATTAATGCATTGTTTATAATTTGTCTTCAGGTTTTTTCTCAATCTGGAAACACTTGTAGGCTGTGTTCTTTCTGGTCCAACTTCACCTCTAGCTTTCAGTGACTCTGTTTTAAATGTTATTAATCAGAATGCAAAGCAACTGGAAAACAAGGAGCATCTCTGGAGAATGTGGAGTATTATAGTCACGCCACTAACTGAATTGATTAATCAGGTATGATATGAGTCTGCTACATATTTTCCCCCATACTTATAGAATATTTTACCTTTTTTTCCATTTTAGAGCACACGGGGAAATGAATAAAAGTTTGAACTTGAATAGAAGACAATATTTTTTCTTGTGGAATTGGTAAATTTTCTACTCCTTGGGTTGATTTCTTTTTATTGCTTTCTTGTCTTGATCAGTAGATCAAGAAAGTATAGCTTAGTGGAGACTAATGGGCTTCATTTTTTCCTCCAATAATAATTATAAAACTAGAAAGCTCACATTTGATGCATGTAAATTCTTTTTTCCTGGCCAGCCAGTAACAAAGGTTGAACTGTGGACCTTGGTGTTATCAGCATCATGCAGATAACCAACTGAGCTGACCAAGCAGGCCTTGACACACAAATTTTTATACTTGGGTTCTTTGAGTAGTCATACTAATAGGGAATAATAATGTTCATCTTGACTAGGCTATATACTCCCATAGTCAGACCATGTTGGTGAGTACCTCAAAGCCATATAGCATTTCCCTAAGTCAGGAATCTGTTGAGAGTTAACTAATCCTTACATTTAAATACTTAAAGGTGGTGATAGTGACAGAGCACGGAGCACAAGTTCTGTCACTATTCATGATTTGTGAGCTGCTTTATCAGTCTTTATTTAAACTAAAATATTCACAAGTGAAATGAAGACTCCCAAGAATTTTTTATGTTGCAGTGAAGTAACCTTTATTGTGGCTACTCAGGCTAGCCCACTATTAAACATACTCTTGTGGAAGAAAAATAGTTTACATTCCTAAATAGCTTCTCACAGAGACCCTTTTTATAAGTCCTTTTTGAATATTGTGAATGTATAGAAGATTTTGGAGTTGCTTCTGGGATTCTTTTTTTAAGATCTAAACATAGTGCATGACTTCCCCAGGCTTGCTATTAACAAATTACCACAAACTGATGGCTTAAGCCAACAAGAATTTATTTCACAGTTCTGGAGGACAGAAATCCAAAATCAAGGTGTTGGTAGGATTGGTTCTGGAGCTATGCAGAAACTGCTCCTTGCCTCTTAGTTTCTAGTGGTTACTAGCAATCCTTGACCTTATTTGGCTTGTAGCCACATCACTTAAATCTCTGCTTTCATCTTCACGTGGTATTCTTCCCTGTGTCTTTCTGTGTCTTTTCAAGTTTTCCTTTTACAAGGTCACCATTCATTGGATTTGGGCCCATACTAATCCAATATGGCCTCATCTTGACTTGATTATGTCTTCAAAGACCTTATTTCCAGATATGGTCACATTCACAGGTACCAGGGGTTAGAAGTTTAACATCTCTTGAATATCTCATCATTGGGGGATACAGTTCTACCCACTGCATACAGTAAGCTGTGTTACTGCTTAGAATTAGATCGTAATTTGTCTAACTTCATTATTTTTCTTATTTCAGACCAATGAAGTGAATCAAGGTGATGCCTTAGAACATAATTTTAGTGCTATCTATGGTGCATTGACTATACCAGTAAACCATATTTTTTCAGTACAGAAATTTCCAGTGGTAAGGCAATGTCAAGTTTTTATGTGTGAAGAATTTGTACTTTTCTGAAAATATTGCCATTTCACCTTTATAGTGAGCTCCTACAGTAATTTTTCATAAAATAAGATTTCCTTACAACTTTATTAGCTTTGGGGAAAGGAAAGTAGTGAAAGATGGAAGTTCTTTTTGAGCTTTAGTTGCTGGTATTGCAGCATTATTACATCTTTTCAGTTAGAACTCTATTGGGGGTGGGGGTAAGGTTATTACCCTATTCTCTTCTCTGTGCCACATTAAATGTTTCAGTGTTTTTTTTTAAATGATAAAGATGTATTGATTCTGTCAGGCATTTGATACATAAGCATACATTTATAAAATTTCTTTTTTGTTATTGTTAGGACACCATGAAGACCTTACTTAGGACTTGGTCAGAATTATATAAAGCATTTGCTCGCTGTGCTGCTTTGGTGGCAACAGCGGAAGAGAATTTGTGCTGTGAGGAACTTTCTTCCAAGATAATGTCCTGTTTGGAAGATGAAAGCCTTTCAGTGAGTTTGTCCTGATACTGACCTTTTTGTATTTAAAGGATTCTTTTTAAGTAAATGAAGACAACATTTGTAAACTATCATTTTCTAATATTTCTATTGTTTTTTTTTTTTTTTTTTTTTTTTAAAGATGACCGGTAAGGGGATCTCAACCCTTGGCTTGGTGTTGTCAGCACCACGCTCAGCCAGTGAGCAAACCGGCCATCCCTATATGGGATCCGAACCCGCGGCCTTGGTGTTATCAGCACCGCACTCTACCGAGTGAGCCACGGGCCGGCCCCTAATATTTCTATTGTTTTTTTTTTTTTTTTTAAAGATGACCGGTAAGGGGATCTCAACCCTTGGCTTGGTGTTGTCAGCACCACGCTCAGCCAGTGAGCAAACCGGCCATCCCTATATGGGATCCGAACCCGCGGCCTTGGTGTTATCAGCACCGCACTCTACCGAGTGAGCCACGGGCCGGCCCCTAATATTTCTATTGTTTTTTTTTTTTTTTTTAAAGATGACCGGTAAGGGGATCTCAACCCTTGGCTTGGTGTTGTCAGCACCACGCTCAGCCAGTGAGCAAACCGGCCATCCCTATATGGGATCCGAACCCGTGGCCTTGGTGTTATCAGCACCGCACTCTACCGAGTGAGCCACGGGCCGGCCCCTAATATTTCTATTGTTTAAGTGACTAAGTTAATATTGAAAACAAGTATAGTTTTGCGAAACAATTTTGTGCCTTCAGGACCATTAACAGTGAAGCTCTTTTACTACTCTGCTGTGTACATCCTTGTGCTGTGGCATTCTAAATTTAACAGTACAAGGCCCTTGCTGTCCTAGACCTCACTTTCTCATATTTGTCTGTTAGATGTATAAAATGAATCCCTTTGGAAGTTTATAGTCCTAAAAATATGTCTTACTTCTTCCTCCCTTAATAAAAAAAGCAACTACTGTAAGCAATTTGACCTGTATCAATTCTATAGTAGACCTTTCTTTGTCTTTATACATGTAGTTTACATATTGATACTTACATGTGCATATGGATACAGTGTTCTTGCCATGAAATCGTGTTATATTTATTCTGAAATAACTTATGTAACTTTTTACAAAACACTGTCTTTGCTCCTTTGGAAGTCAGTCCATATTGCTCTGTTCTTTTCAACTGCAGTGTAATACTCCGTAACATGGCTATACCATTATTTGGAATTCTTTTAAGAGTGTTTGGGTTTTTGGGGCCAGCCTGTGGCTCACTTGGGAGAGTGCGGTGCTAGTAACACCAAGGCCACGGGTTCGGATCCCATATAGGGATGGCCGGTTCACTCACTGGCTGAGCGTGGTGCTGACAACACCAAGACAAGGGTTCAGATCCCCTTACCAGTCATCTTTAGGAAAAAAAAAAAAAAAAAAGAGTGTTTGGGTTTTAAGTTACTTATGCACATAATCCTGATAATTGTTTTCACACAATACATTGTTTTTCTACATATTTTTTTCTTGTATCTGGCCCATGCAGGGATCAAACCCCGGACCTTGGTGTTATGAGCACCACGCTCTTAACCAATTGAGCTAACCAGCCAGCTCTCTATGCACATTAGTGAAATGAGAATTGTTGTGCTTGTTTTCCTACATTTTAATATCTGACACAGATCTGAATGAGTAATAAAGTAAATTTATATTTTATTAAATTCTTTTTTGTTTTGGGTTTGGTTTGGTTTTTTTTTTGTGACTGGCTGGTATAGGGATTTTAATCCTTGACCTTGGTGTTATAATACTGCGCCCTATCTAACTGAGCGAACTGGCCAGCTTGTTAAATGCTTATTGTAAAATATTTTAAACAATTTTCTATTGTGCAAAGCAAAATGTAAGTTCACTTTCATACATCTTTTCTCACCAGTGATAACGACTACCAATATATATTCATCTTTTCTGTGTTTTTAATACATTTATACATATCTGCTACTTTTAAATATTAGCACAATTCTGATTTTTGTATTTGGATGCAATATTTGTCAGGGTGACTTTAAAAATGTAAATGACATCTTGTCACTCTTTTTGAAACACTCCTGTAGTTTTCTGTTGCATTTGGAATAAAAATCTGAGCTCCTTGCAACTGCCCATGAAGCTTCTGCTTCCTTCTCCAAGGGATCTTATCTAATTAGGCTTGTTAGTTTCTGTCTTAGTAACTTATTTCTTTTGGCACTTATCTCAAAATTGTTTATTTCCATACTTCAAGATTAGGGACATTGTCTCGATGGTATCCCTGGCATCTGTCTAGTACATAGACACTGAATAAGTAACTTAAATGTTTTTATAACTGGTAGGGAGAAGGTTGACCCTCAGTTCTCTCCTTTTAAAAATTGTCTTGGTTAAGGTTGTATCTTTGTTCTTTTCCAGAAGAAATTTGTAGTCTGTCAAACTTTACAAAATATTCTCTTGAGATATTGCTTGGCATTAACTACATAGAATTCACAAATTAATTCGGACAAGAATTTACATCTTTATAGTATCAAGTCTTTCCTTCCAAGGTTATTTGTGTTTATGTAAGTCTTTTAAAGTTAACCTAACTTGCTTGATTATTGTTTTTAAGCTATTGTTTAGCTATTATTAGCTAAATAAAAGGTCTCCCCTTCCCCCATACTTGGTTGTTGCCGAAGTATGTAAAAGCTCTTGCTAGGGCTGGCCAGTTAGCTCAGTTGGTTAGAGCATGGTGTTATAACAATTCTGATCCCTGTACTGGCCAGCTGTCTGCCCAATCCCCAGAAAACAAAAGGTATTGCTAACATATTTCCTTGTATGAATATTGGACCAATTTTCTTGTTCACAGTGCTTATTCTTTTAAATAATCATAGAATTAGTGTTTTTAAGTTTTCTGCAAAAATCTTCATTAGTGAGATTGGAGTTCTCATCCAATTTTGTATTATGGCAATACTAGCCTCTTAGCGTGTTTTACAAACTGTTGTAACTTTTCCTGTGTTTTTCACCACTTTAAATGCATTCATGCATTGCTTAAAGACAGGGATACATTCTGAGAAAATGGGTCAGGCCATTTTGTTGTTTCACAAACATGATAGAATGTACTTCTGCAAATCTAAATCGTACAGCTTTGTGTTATAGTCATTATAATCTTATGGGATGACCATTGTATATGCGGTTCCTTGTTGACCGAAACATCCTTATGCAGTTCATGACTGTACTTACATATATTAAATATTTTTGTTTCCATTTTCTAGGTTATTACTTTTCTACCTTAAGTCCAAAACCTTAACTTTTTCATCTTTTCGAATATACACATCTAAGACTATAAGGGTACTTCAGAAAGTTCACAGAAAGATTTGCATTTTAAGCCTATTTTTCCATGAACTTTTTGAAGTATCCTCATATTTTTATTATTGGTATCAGTAATCATATAGACTATTTTTATTTTTATTTCTGTAGCACCAGGTAGTTTAGAAGGGGACTTTTTAATAGGATAGTTTATGGATATGTGTGTCTATTTAATCATTAACTTTTGGTTTTGTTGTATTATATCAGAGAGGAGGGTCTGTGACTTCAAATTTTGGAATTTATCCTTGTTTATAACTCTGTTAGTTTTATAATTGTTTTAGACAGTTGTGATAAAGTGTCTTCCTCATTGTGAATTTTATGTATTTTAATATGTTCATTAAGTAATTCGATACTGCATTGTCATACACTAGAGGTTCATGACTTGTTAGAGGCTCATAATAATGTCTTCATGGTAATGTGTCTCTCATTAATGCCTTTTTCTTAAATTCTTTTTTTTTTTTCAAAGATGACCGGTAAGGGGATCTTAACCCTTGACTTGGTGTTGTCAGCACCACGCTCAGCCAGTGAGCGAACCGGCCATCCCTATATGGGATCCGAACCCGGGGCCTTGGTGTTATCAGCACCGCACTCTCCCGAGTGAGCCACGGGCCAGCCCCCTTTTTCTTAAATTCTTTTTTTTTTTTCAAAGATGACCGGTAAGGGGATCTTAACCCTTGACTTGGTGTTGTCAGCACCACGCTCAGCCAGTGAGCGAACCGGCCATCCCTATATGGGATCCGAACCCGGGGCCTTGGTGTTATCAGCACCGCACTCTCCCGAGTGAGCCACGGGCCAGCCCCCTTTTTCTTAAATTCTAACCAGCTTGAAATTATTATCATACTTTTTTTGAAAATTTGTAAGATGTGTCTTTTAAAAACTTACTGAGCAACGTAAAATTGAATTAAGCGGTGAAGTTTAATAAATTATTTTAATAAAATACTTGTAGTCACCGCCATCCAAAGTCAGCACAATAGAGCATTGTCAACACCTCAGAAGCCCCCTGTGTCTTTTAAATCACAACATCCTCTTCTCCCTAAAGAGAATTACCATCGTGACTTTTAATCATCATTTCTGTGTTTTTTCCTTTTCTTTTTTCCATACGCACACCGTTACATTTGTTTAGCTTTGCCCCTTTTTTGAATTTTACATGAATATCATACTCTGTCGTTTGGCTTTTGTTATGGTTGGAAGATTGATCCATGGTGTGTTTTGCATGTTCATTGCTGTATATCATTCCATTGTATGGCTTTATTGTATTTATCAATTTATTTGAACCTTTCTGGGACTTATGTGGCATATAAGTAAATATGACAGTCTGTTTCAATAAGTGTATTTAACTCTTTGTTACATAGTAAGAAATAGAATGTGTTCTTTAACATTTTGTCTTTTTGTTTTTCTATTTAATGTTACCAGTTTTTATAATCTAAAGCTCTCTAGTGTTTTTGATATTTTATATTGTTTCTTTCAGATACTACTCTTAAAATTTATATTTTTCTGTCAAATTTGAAATTAATATCTATAACATTCTACTCCAGGAAACAAAGACCTTGGTATGATTTCACTATTCACAAATTTTTACCAGCTGTGCCACCTTACAGGTTTTCTTGAAAATTTTGAATTTTAATTGTAGTTTTTACACTATTATACAGAGTATCATAAAGCCTGAAAAATAAGTATTTTTTTCAAAAATTGAAGGTGTTAGTGACAAAATCTATATATATCTGTGTTTATTTGAATGTTTTATGTCACATTATATTAACCATTGGTTTTGGTGCTCAGCTTTGTTTTTTTATATCTTTTTTATCCTTGTTTTGCTTCCCCCCATTTTTTTCTTTTTTTTTTTTTTTTTTGTCTTTTGTCTTTTGTCTTTTGTCTTTTTTCCGTGTCCGGCAATGGATTGCAACCCTCAGTGTTGCCCCCGTACCGGACCGGGGACCGGCAACGGGATCGCAAGCCTCGGTGTTGCTCCCGCGCCTCGCTCAGCCAGTGAACGGGAGCCGGTCTGTATGTGGGATCCGAACCCTCGGACGGGAGCGCTGCCGCGCTTCCCAAGCGGCGCACTATCCAGTGCGCCACCGGGCCGGCCCCACCACATTTTATTCTTTAAGAGAAAAAGAAACAATTGTCAGCAATCTTTTAGATATATCACTGCCATCTCCTCGTTTGATACTTAAATCATCATTTGGTTAGTTATGGAATTTAGGTTCCAGCAAATTTATATCTCAGAATTTTTTAAACCACTTTATTGCAATATGATTGACACACAAAAAGCTGCACATATATATAGTATAGTTATACTATCTGCTATAAACATATCTACCATTTTTCTCACACTGTCTTTATTTATTATTATTATTTGTGATTAGAGCACTTAACATCTGTCCTCTTAGCAAAATTTAAGTGTATGGTATTGTTTATAGACATTATACTACTATACAGTAGATCTTTAGAACTTACTCATCTCACACAAGTGAAACTTTGGCTAATACCACCCATTTTCCCCCTTCCCTAAGCCCCTGGCAATTGCAGTTCCACTCTCTGCTTCTCTGAGTTTGACTATTTTAGATTCCTCGTATTAAGTGATATCACATATTTAGTGTTTTATGTCTGGCTTATTTCATTTAGAATAATGTCCTTCAGGTTCATCCATGTTGTTTCAAGTGGCAGAATTTCCTTCTGTTGAAGGCTGAATAATGCTCCATTGTATGTATATACCATATTTTCTTTCTTTCTTTTTTTTTTTTTTTTAAAAAAGATGACCGGTAAGGGGATCTTAATCCTTGACTTGGTGTTCAGCCAGTGAGTGAACCGGCCATCCCTATATGGGATCCGAACCCGTGGCCTTGGTGCTATTAGCACCGCACTCTCCCAAGTGAGCCAAGGGCCGGCCCTATACTATATTTTCTTTATGCATTTGTCTGACAGTGGACATTTAGATTGGTTCCATTTCTTGACTATTGTGAATAATGCTGCAATGAACTTGGGATAGCAGATATCTCTTTAAGATCCTGATTTCATTGCTTTGGGTACATACGAGAAATGGGATTGCTGGATAATATGGTAGTTCTTTTTTAAAGTTTTTAGGAACTTCAATACTGTTTTCCGTAGTGTTATACCAATGTACATTCCCAATAGCAGTATATAAAGGCTCTCTTTTCTCCACATCATGGCCAGTGCTTCTTATCTCGTCTTTTTAATAATATCGATCCTAACAGCTGTGAGGTGATAACCTCATTGTGATTTTAATTTGCATTTCCCTGATACTTAGTGTTGTCATATACCTGTTGGCTATTTGCGTGTCTTGTGAACAATATCCAGGTCCTTTGCCCATTTTTAAATCTAGTTATCTGTTTTCTTACTACTGAGTTGAGTTCCTTACTATTTTTGGATATCAACACCTTTCTTACTATTGACTAGTTTGAGTTCCTTATATATTTTGGATATTAACCCCTTAGCATGTATACTTTGCAGATATAGTCTGCCATTTCATAGCTTGTCTCTTCATTCTGTTGATTGTTTCCTTTGCTGTGCAGAAGCTTTTTAGTTTGGTGGAATCCTATTTTTTTTTTTCCCCTGTGCTTTTAGTGTCATATCCAAGAAATCATTGCCAAAGTAATGTCAAGAACTTCCCCTATGTTTTCTGTTAGTAGTTTTACAATTCCGTGTATACATTTAAGTCTTTAATTCATTTTGAGGTAATTTTTGTGAATGGTATATGTAAGATGTGGGTCCAATTTAATTCATTTGCATGTGTAATATCTAGTTTTCCCAGCGCCATTTATTGAAGAGACTGACTGTTTATTTCCTGTTGTGTATTCTTGGTACCCTTGTTGAAGATCAGTTGTGGGTGTATGTGTGGATTTATTTCTGTGCTCTCTATTCACTGTTCTATTGGTCAGTATGTCTGTTTTTATGCCAGTACTATACTGTTTCGATTACTATGGCTTTGTAATGTATTTTGAAGTCACAAAGTGTGATTGCTCCCACTTTGTTATTCTTGTTCATTATTGCTTTGGCTATTCAAGTTTTTGTATGAATTTTATAATTGTTTTATCTTTTTCTGTACAACATGCCATTGGGATTTTGATAGGGATTGCATTGAATCTGTACATCACTCTTGGTAGTTCGGACATTTTAACAATATTAATTCTTCTGGGTTGGCTGATTATTAGCTTACTTGGTTAGAGTGAGGTGCTGATAACACCTAAGTCAGGGGTTCTTATTGGCCCTTACCAGCCAGTCACCCCCCCACCCTAAAATTAATTCTTCCAATCCATGAACATGGGATGTCTTTCTATAACACAGAATTGTGAATTAAAGTTATTGTCCAATTGTTAACAGTTTTTACTATTGCAAAGCATAGTTTGATACTAATTTTTTTTTTTTTTTTTAAGATAACCTCTTGTTCTACAAAGTTTTAGGATTATTCTCTTGTCTCTGGAGTTCAGACGTTTCACTAGTGTGTGTTTAAGTACTTAGTGAACCCTTTTGATCTAAAAGCTGTGGTTTAGCTTCAAAAAGCTGCCTTGCTTTAGTGGTGCTCCTCAGTTTTTCTATTTCTGAGTACTGTTTTAGATGGTTTTTAGACCTTTTGGGTTTTTCTTCCATGTCCTTTACCCTTTGTTTCTCTACACTTGTATATGTTTTTTCTTTCAGTTGGTACTGTTTTCTGGGAGCTTGGTATTTCTAGCTGTGTCCATTCCAGTGCAGTTTAAATGTTAAGGTGTTTTAAACTTGTTTTGATTTTACATTTAATGTTTTTAAATGGGTATGACTTCCCTCTTAACTCTGAAAATACCTTCTCTTTTTAGTATTGGCTGTTTCCTCATAGATTCGTTTAGTTGGCGTTTACACACCTCCTTCATGGTGCTCGTTCTCCTGGTTCACGATTATGCATATTTGTCAGTAAAGGTTAATACTGAACAATTTGGTAGCTGGAATGTATTCCCTAACCCAAGAGAGAACCCCTGTTTTTCTGGCTTTGATGGCAAATTGTAGTTACAGGGATGCACCTGGAACTTAACATCTTTTCTCAGCATGTAGCTTGTCATCCAAACTTCCATGTAGTTTTCATAGGGTAAGTGGGGCACTGCCTTTGTCCTCTATCCCTGGCATCCTGTGAAGGAGTTTGGTGCAGGCATGTGAATTAGTCCAGTAAATTGGATAAATGGAAGGTAATGGAAACTAAAGATGTTTTATAGATCTTTAATTTCAGCAGTCTTTTAATTAAATGTTCGACTTTTTTATAGACATCAGACCTTTCCATAGAACCTTCACTATGTCTTCTGTTACTCAGGTTCTACTAGCAAAGCTCAGTGTGTTTTTGGTGTTCTTTTTGACTTGTAGGCCTGGGATTCCTTTTTTCTTTAGTCTCCTCCCACCTACCCCACCTCCCTTTAAAAATTCCCTGATAATATTTGATGTGTCTATGAATTTGTTTTTCTTTCAGTTGGATTAGGGGAGGAGAAGGAAATGCTGTGAAGGAGCTCAGCAAGTTTTTCATTTTATGTTCTGTTTCCACTGAGTCTACTGAACACTTTTACTTTTGTAATTTTCAAGAAGAATTTGATTAAGAATCTAATTATGAGCCTAGCACATCCATTCTCAACTTACTGGTTGCTATGATGAGTTTTATGGGCATCTTAAAGATGAGTTATTTTTCCTAAATGTTGAGAAAGTATAGTATTTGATGCATGGCCGTTAAATGATCAATATTTATAACCATATACTTTATTGTACCTTATATAGTATAAGCTATGGCATGTGTGTTATATGGTATATGTGGGAGTACAAATCTTATATTTTTTTCTTGTTGCTTGCTGTTGTTGAATACTATGCCAGTAGTTGAACATTTCTAATTATGGTATTTACTGTTCTTCCCTAGAATTTGTTGTTCTTGGACAGGGTCATTCATATTATTACTATAATGGTTGATTGCATCGACTTCTCACCATATGATATTAAATATCAGCCCAAAGTTAAATGTAAGTATTTTCTTTGCCTTTATTTGTTCATCTGGTATTCATAAACACTACTGAACTGTTGTCAGGGAAAATCCTAATGGCTTTTCCTTCATTTTACTAACTTGGTCTTGTATATCCATGTCATTTACTGTGCTGGGAGCTTGCATGCATGTTCCCTCTCCCTCTTTCCCTCCCTCTCTGTCTCTCTCTCTCTCACATACACAAAGTCTTTATTCCTTTTTACAACATAGATATCCTAATTAAAGATTGCCTAATACAAAATGACTGTACTCATTCCATCTAGTTTGAGGGATTATCTGGAAAAGTACCTTGGACATTCTTGAAAATGTTCTTTGAAAGCCTGATTTGAAATAATAGTTGAATTGACATTAAAACTGAAAAGAAAATCATGGGATCAGTTAATTGGTTATTGTTTTACAGGAAATTTAAAATTATTCTAAAATTTTAAGTCAGTTTTTGCTATTTTAGTTATTGGAGTCATAAGTCTGATTTTTAAAATCTTATGCCTTGGTTTATTCTAAATTATTTTGTAGTAAATACCTGAGCTATTTTAATCGGCCAATTGATTCTTTGAAGTAAAATACAAAATATATATTCACACCATATAGGAAGTGATAACTTGCCATTAATAAAAAATGTTAGTTGATGTTGAGATATATTTATTTTTTTCTGTTTAAAGGTTAGGAACATACTTAGTTTTCCACTAATAAGATCTGTCATTGATGAATTAGTGTAAAGATTTCTAAAACATACTTAAGCACATTTAGAATCTTTTTTAGTTTTTCACTTTTTACTAAATAGTGATGTATCGAGTAACATATTAAGTGCCTAAAGTATATTATAGGTCAGAGCATCCCAGCCTGAATGCTACAGAAATAGGTTATAGATGTACCTGACATACAGATATCAGCTTTCCTACTTGGGCTGTGCAGGACCTTATCTGATTACCTCAGAGTGTCATAAAAATAGAATTATCAAGCCTGGCTGGTTAGCTCAGTTGGTTAGAGTGTGGTGTTGTAACACAAGGATCCCAGAACCAGCCAGCTGCCAAAAAAAAAAAAAAGAATTATCTTTGACTACCGTGATTATTAAAAGGTTGTGTAACAAAAAAGTCAGATTATTTTATAAGCCTCTGAAGTTTCATAGAGCCAAAATGATTGAGCTATGTTGACATAATTTTACCTATGTTGGTACTTCTGGAAAATTAGATTTTAACTCAATTGCCAATCTACCCATGATCTGTAAACCCACAATTATAAATGACTTTTTTTTTTTCACTCTATGTCTATCTAGAACAGAGCCAGAGATCCTCCTGCTGTTTAAATTTATGGAATGGGGAGATTTCTAAAACTTGACAGCAGAAGTAGAGGAGGAAAGGAAACAAAATTAGGGCTAGCTAAAAGGAAATGGTTATTATTAAGGGTTGTGCATCAGGATCACCTTGGGATTTTTTTGTGACTTATTTTGTCACAATTTCAAATTTAGAGAACAGTGCAAGAATTATACATAGAAACCTCATATCGTTAACTCAGATCCCTCAGTTAAAAGTTGATTGCATTTGTCTTATCATCCCCTCCCTCTGGTACATAGGCTTTATTCATTCTCCCTCACCCCTCAACCAGTTGAATGTATGTTGTAGTTGACATCCTGGAACAGTTTTTCAGTCTTGTCTTTTGTGTCTTTCAAAAATGAAGCACTCTGGCAGTGTTACCTTTTTAAAAGTCCCTCAATCTGGGATTTTTGCAAGATTAGAATCAGATTTCATTCATTTCTTTGCAGGAATGCTGCAGAAATAATGCTGTGATTCTTACTCAGTTCATTATGTCCTGTTACTGGTGATGTTAATGTTTACTGTTTGATGGAAGTAATATCTGCCAGGCCTTCCACTGTAAAGTGTGAATTACTAAATACTTATAATTAATAAGTGTTTTGTGCCAGACACTTTGAGACTATGTAACCATTCTGTCCCTCAGCAAATTTTCACCCATGAATTTATCATCTACTGATGCTCTTTGCCTGAAACACGATTCCTGAAATGATAGTTCATTGTTCCACTTAATTTACGTTAAATTAGTTGTATCAAGATGTTGATCTCTCTTGTCAATTACATTCTAAAAGCCGTTTCTGTTTTTAATTAGTCGTCTCATTATATTTCATAATTATTCTACAATTATTTATTGAACACTACTAGGCAGTAGTCACTTCCAGATACAGGTAATATCCTAATGTAAAATACAGGTTCCCATGTTCCCTGTTTACTTTAATCAGTATGGGCTCTTTATTATTACTTATTTTAATGCCCAAGATGTCCCAGGTGTAGGCACTAGGATCCACTTCACATTGGCTCCTATGACCTTTTGACATGTCTCCGTTATTCTTTGAGAACCTTGGCATAAGATACCTAGCCTCATCTTATACTTTCCTACAGCCTGGAATCAACCGTTTCACTAAAGGAATTATTCCTTTTAGTTGAGAATGGCAGTTAGAATCAAGATCTATTCGTTGTTAGAAGTTGTCATTGTTTCTGGATCCTCTAAGCTGGTAAAGCTGGGAAATAGGCATGTATGTGATTATACAGCTATTACATGTATTATTAAATACACTTCTGGTTACCACCTAATATCACATGGTTTAATTCTAGTCCTGCCCCTATCTGTGTTTGTACTCAGCTTCTTTAATAGTGAGAAACCTGGTTGCCATTACTTTCTATGTATTTACAATTTGATCAGTCACTTGTATGTAATGAGTCTCCTGACACATGGGCTGTCATCTCAGCCTCATTGTCCTGTCCAAAAAATTCTGGGTATTGTTTTAGTGTACATTCATGTCTCAGAAACCAATTCTAGGGAGGAAGTTTGTCTTCCTTTTTTAGTAGGAATGCTGTTTTTCATTTCATCATGACATTAATTTTTAATTAATAAGTGCTAAATTAGAGGTTTCTCTTAAATCTGGTATTGCTTACCTTAAAAGAATGGATTGCTTGAGAGAAACAGTTAATTTTGGAATGGGTTGATTTTTCTGAGCACTCGAAATGTGGGTTTATTCCTGTACATAGGTATCTGGAGAGATGTGATCAAAGAAGGGTACAAAGGAAAGTTAGACAGTGCTTTTAAGACATATCTTTTTCTTTGAATCTAAGAAATACGTAGTAGACTTTTCCTGCATTCTTTCTCAGGATTTAGATCTCTGAATTGTTCAGTGTTATTTGTAGGGATCAGCGTACTATAGAAGAGCCAGGGAATAGTAATTTCTAATGGAAATTTTTTCTTACTTTAAAAAGTAACTTTTACAATTTAACATTGGAACCTATCTAATATAATTTAGTACTCTTTTTACAAATTAGTTATTGAAAATTTGAGAAATGTAAAAATTCAAAATGCATTATCCAATTCCTTAGAGAAAATAGATTCAGTTCTCTGGGATTCTTATTCTGGATTTGCCAAATAGTTTTCCTTTGTTTCTGATTCTCATTTGTAAAGATAATGTTCTAGTGATATTTATGCATTAGTGGTTTATCATTTTAAAGTATATTTGCATTATCGGTATACAAAAGCACATATATCTGACATATCTAGCATTCAGATATGAGATATAAATTGTAAAGGTGGACAGTGACACTATTTTCAAAGTACTTGAGTTTTTAATCAATTCAATTTTATCTTAGCACCACCACAGAGACCTACAGATTGGTCCAAAAAGAAGAAGGATCCCCTAGGAAAACTGGCTTCTTTATTTAAACTTATTGTGAGAGCAATCTATTCTTTCCACACTTTGAGCTTCAAGGAAGTACATTCTGATACTCTCTTCGCTATCGGCAACTCAATCACCAGCATTCTTTCCAATATACTTGGACATATTTCTTTGCCCTCTATGATTCGAAAAATATTTGCAACTTTAACAAGACCTCTGGCCTTATTTTATGAAAACTCAAAGTAAGTATTTTGGAATTACTAGCTTTGAATTCACTGTGCAATTTAAATGTAGGTAGCAACTTTTGTTTTCCTATCAGCTTTGTTATGGATGCTAATCTTGACAGTTTAATGGAGAGGGTATTATATTAAAGTGTGCTGTTATTTAAAAGACAGTTCAGATACTATAGAAATATGGGTAGAAATTGGAAGTCCTTTCATTTTGTATGTTATTCTGCTTGCCTTTTTAAATGCATGATGGGCACAAAAGCATGCTTGACATGCTACTCCACAATTAAGTATAAGGTATGCACTCAATACATCAGGTGTCTGTATTCATGGGTTCTGCATCTGTGGATTCAACCAACCACAGATGAAAGATATTTGGGGAAAAATAATAATAATACAAATGCCAAAAATACAGTATAACCACTATGTACACAGCATTTATGTTGTGTTAGATATTGTAAGTAATCTAAAGGTGATTTAAAGTATATGGGAGGATGTGTGTAGATGATAATGCAAATACTATGCCATTTTATATCAAGGGCTTGGCATCCACAGATTTTAGTATCAGCAGGAGGTCCTGGAACCAATCCCTCACAGATACCGAGGGACAATTGTGTGTTATGTGTATCTTGCACCGTACACATGAGAATCTTATTTTAATGTCTGTATAGGATTTCTTTAAACTTTTTACCCAATTTCTTTTCTTTTTTTTTTTTTTTTTTGTCTTTTGTCTTTTTCCGTGTCCGTTTTTTTTTTTTTAAAAGATGACCGGTAAGGGGATCTTAACCCTTGACTTGGTGTTGTCAGCACCACGCTCAGCCAGTGAGCGAACCGGCCATCCCTATGTGGGATCCGAACCCGGGGCCTTGGTGTTATCAGCATCGCACTTTACCGAGTGAGCCACGGGCCGGCCCTTTACCCAATTTCTGATTGGTGGACGTATGTGTTTTTCTAGCTTTTTCACTCAAACAGCTAAATATTATTTGTACATAAATCACTGTCCACATTTGCCACCATTTCTGTAGAATAGGATTTTTTAAGTGAAAATACTGGTTCAAAGGATATGCTCATTTAAATTTCTGAATTACCCTCCAAAAACTTAATTATATGTGTTACCCTTTACATTTGAATCGAAGTAAGCAGTGCATTAAAACCTGAAAAAATCCCCAAAAACATACTTATTAAAGCACTTTAAAAAGGATTTATCAGCATTCTGTCTTTTAAACTTGTATGGTTTATTCTTAATACAGATTATCTTTTACAAATTAAATTCATAGAGAAAATTTTAGGGACAAATTCTAACATGCAAAATATAACCCCTATATCTGTGAACTTTGCAAATTTTTTAGTCATTACTGCATCAGAAATATTTCATGCTTAAAAGGTTCAGAAACAAGTTAACTACTGTGACTACTTTGACACTCTTCTAGATGTTGTCTGTGATTCATTTTTCAAAGATGGGCTTGTTTTATTAGTACGTGGCAATTTGATTTTTTTTTTCTTTGTTAAGTCTTGGGGCATCTTTTTATATCACTACATGTATATCTCCTATTTTTATGGCTGTGTTACCTCAGTTTTAGGTTTAGTTAGATAAATAATACAGTGTTAACTTCCTAAAGTATAAATGGTGTGGTGTTTTATGTTTTTCTTTCCAGACTCAATGAAGCTCCTAAAGTGTATAGTTGTCTGAACAACAAGGTAAAAATATATAATTGTCTTAAACACAATTCTGCTTGATTTTAGAGGGGTTGTTATTCTTCATTTTAAATGGACATTTAGGAACATGATATGGACACATTCACAAGTTTGTTTTTTTTTAAAGATTTAATATTAATTTAAATTCATATAATTTATCAACTTCCATCTCAACCCTTTAAGTAGGGCAATTGGTGCCAAAGTTTTCCAGGTGAAACTTATGTAGACAACTCTTAATTCCTATTATAAATTATGTAAAGACAATTTTTTACTATTAATGGAAAATAAGCTCAAAATTACGCTGTAATATAAATAATCAAAGCACATTTACCCAATAATTTGTCAGCTTATAAAGAGGATTATATAAAGGGACTTCAGAAAGTTTGTAGAAAATAGATTTCAAAAAAATATGAATCTTTCTATGAACTTTTTGAAGTACCCTCATGTATTTAAGGCAATGATTGGGTTTGTTTAAAATCATTCAAATTTTAAAAGTTGAAATAGCAACATGTTCTGTGAGTCGATGTTTTCATATATTCTTTGTTTTTATTTTTTCCTTTTTCTTAGTTAGAAAAGCTACTAGGCGAAATTATTGCTTGTCTGCACTTCAACTGCACTGGAACTTATGACAGTGAACTTCTTGAACAACTCTCCCCACTATTATGCATAATATTTCTGCACAAGAATAAACAGATTCGAAAACAGAGTGCTCAGTTCTGGAATGCCACATTTGCTAAAGTGACGAAGTTGATTTATCCTGAAAAGTTAAAGTATGCTAACAGTAAAACTTTTATACAACTAACTATCCCATTGTGGTCATGTAAATTGATATTTGGCTTTAATGTAAACTTTTCTTATGGAAAATTGTTGCAAAGGATTCCTTAGTTGAAGTACTATTATTTAGAGTGCATGGTGATTATTAAACTCATTTGACCTTTTTTGGGGGTCCTTCGAGCAACCTTGATTTTGGGAATTGATAAAACCAATTTAAATTTATCCTTAAAAGAAAGAAGAAGGGCAGGAAATTGGTTAAAAAGCTAAATGTAAGTACTTAATGTAATGTTCTATTTCTGTTTGAAATTTTTTTGTGACAAAAATTGGGAAATTCTGAAAAGCTTTTAAAGAAGAAAGTTGGAAATTCTGAAAAGTATAGAAAAAAATTTTTTAATTGTCTAGTTTCTCCTCAGTTTTATATATGTATAGTAAAGTAAGAAACAGTCTTTAAGCCATATACATTTTGCTGCTTTAAAATTATAAAGTATTCTTGTTAACATATCATTGCTCACCAGTACTTTTTGACTGATGTACATATGTTGATGTACTTTTTTAAAGACCAATACTAAGGCAAGCCAAACAGAAATCTTTGCTGCTTTTGCCTGGTTTGGAAAATGTTGAAATGATGGAGGAATCCAGTGGACCATATTCAGATCCAGTAAGTTGGAGTTTTTTGTTAGTTATTTCATCTTTTGAATGGTGCTTGAGTAGTTTGTTTATTGTAAGTGATAAACAAGTAGAACCTGAACAGAAGAGGAGAGTTCCGTAACAGGATTTTTGCATATAGTTGGTTGTCTGGCCTGAAATTCTTTTGTGAGTTAAGGGCAGAAAATCTCACTAAAGATTCTCATGTAAATATAATCTCTGATTTTTGTTCATTAATTATCTTTTTTGAACTCATCTCTCGTACTGTTTTACAAAGTTTGTAATTGTTAAAATACATGGTTAAGTATTGCTTTGGAAAAATTAGAAATAGTAGTTACTAGTCCACGTCTAGAGGAAGAACTACTCTTCATTTTCTCATTTGTTTCCATCGAATTTCCCATTTCTTCTATCAGATAAACACATCTTTGCTATCACATCACTCATTAGGACTGTGGTTACTTTGTCTAATGATACATGTTTACTATCTGAAGATCTAGGAAGTTTAGAGGAGTAAAGGTATGAGTATTATGCATCCAAGTTGATGTGGAGCAACTTGAGAAAATATTTTTTTCCTTTTCTTTTTCTTTTTTTACACTATTACTACCGTTTTGCATAGCAAACTGAAAATTTTCCTATTCAGCAACAGGTAGGGTATGCTTTTTTATTTTTGTCGGGACCTTCAAGAGTCCTTTCATTTTTTTTTAATTGATTTACTTTTAATTGGAACATAATTGATTGTACATATCTGTACGGCACAGCATTGACTATCAGTACCTGTGTGCAATACATTATCCTCAAATCAGTATATATTTTTTGTTTAGAATATATAAGAGAAAAATGTTATTATTAAGTACTCTTGGTTTTTTTTATTTCTTTTTTTCTTTTTCTTTCTATCAGTACCTGTGTGCAATACATTATCCTCAAATCAGTATATATTTTTTGTTTAGAATATGTAAGAGAAAAATGTTATTATTAAGTACTCTTGGTTTTTTTTATTTCTTTTTTTCTTTTTCTTTTTCTTTTCTTTCTTTTCTTTTCTTTTTTTTTTTTTTTTTTAAAGATGACCGGTAAGGGGATCTTAACCCTTGGCTTGGTGTTGTCAGCACTACGCTCAGCCAGTGAGCGAACCGGCCATCCACATATGGGATCCGAACCCATGGCCTTGGTGTTATCAGCACCACGCTCTCCTGAGTGAGCCATGGGCCGGTCCTGGTTTTTTTTATTTCTAAATAAAAATTCTCACTTTGTAGCCATATAGACTTGTTAAAATTTGTTCAGTATAATTTGACATGTAAAAGTCTTCCTTGGTGCTTTAATATTCTCTGTCATACATTTTTAACCTTTTTTATTGTTTAAGATTTAAAGTTTATGGCTTCTTCTCTTACAGATATTTCCAGTAATAGGTGGCATATTTGAGTCCAATAATTTGATTCACTTTGCAGTTTTTATGTTGTATGTCTTATTTTCAGAATTCATAAAATTAAGGGTACAAAACAATTACTGTGAAATTTAGAGACATCAAAACCATTTGCTGTTACTAAATTAGTGTCGCTTTCTTTGATTTTAATAGACTTGAATAATGAGAAGAAATTTGATGTTTGAAATGAGTGTTTATTAGACTGAAACTTTCAAAATGTGAAAAGGGAGAAGCAACATAGTATATTTGTGCTTAATAAAATTGTTTTATTTTTAATAAAACAGATAGAAAATTCACAATTAAATGTGAAGATAAGTGGCATGGAAAGAAAGTCAAGTGGAAAAAGAGATTCCTTTTTGGCACAGACAAAGGATAAAAAAGAAAATATGAAACCATCAGCCAAAGTATGTTTTCAAAAGTATAGTTAATAGAATTTTTAAAATAAAGTATGTGGTGTCTTTAGGACATAAAATTTTAATTGGAAGAAAAAGCTGTGAAAGTCTAAATGAAAGATGGGATCACAGAGCAAAGCTGTGATTTGGTCTAGAAAGACTACTAGTATAGCATGTAAGTCTAGAAGCGTTCGGTGGTGATGCCTTCTTAGTAAAGGTGTAAGTACTCTGACAGCAGCTCCCTTGTGGTGGAACGAGACTAGGTATGAGTGACTAATGTAGATAGCACAAGAAATTTCTCTTTTAATAACCTCAAATCTAAAATTAAATATGCTAGTTACCAGTTAACCAAATTTTAGATAACAGTAGTTCTCTATTCCATGATCTCCAATTACCGTTATTCTAGAATCTTGAGATCATGGCCCTGGTGAAATGAAAGAAAAATGTTATTCATAATGAATAACCCCGATACCTATCTGTTGAAACTTAAAATAGAACGAAAACAATGCTTACAATGAAAATTTATAAAGATGTAACATTTACTACCAAAGTTATAGTTGTATAGGGTATTGGCAACTTTTACTTAACTTGACTAGTTCATGCTTCAACTTGAGTGCTACAGGTACACTCTCCTCTTGCCAAACCAGTTAATTTCTATGTGTTGGCTTGAAAAATGAATTTATCCATGTTTTGCAGTTAAGCACAGACGTGCCTGCTTTTTAAAGAGGTCTAATAGTTTCTATTTTCTCAATATTTTTAAAGACAGAAAGTGAGGGACATTATACTAATTTGTTATTGATCATGAATATTGTATGGGCTTAAACTCCAAACATTGTCATAATCACTGTTGGCAAAACCATATCATGGTATTAGAAGAGACATTGGAAGACATGTTAGAAAATAATTTGGAAACTAAAATGTACACTTTTTAAAATTCTGCAGCTGAATCTTGAATCTTCATCTACAAAAGTAAAAAGTGAAATGCTTTTAGAAGAGGAAAAATCTACTGACTTTGTATTTATACCTCCAGAAGAAAAAGAAGCAAAGGAGAGAATATTAACTGAACATCAAAAAGAAGTACTCAAAACAAAGCGGTTTGTAGGCCCTTGATTTTGAATTGGGCATTCTGCATTCATGCTTACATTTTATGCAGCAAACTGCAACTTGGGGTTTAGAACTATAATACTATATATAGTAAATTTTAATGCCAAAAAGTATACTGTTCATAACTGCATTTCATAATGTATAAGAGCTACCTGGTAATGTACCAAGTGTTTCTAAACTGAGTTCCTTTACTGAGGTAGGTTGGGAGGGAAAGATAGTTTCATGGGAAGCCCAGTTTTTATATTGTTCATAAAAGACAACTTGGTAGAATTTTAAGATTAATTTCTAATTGTAAGAATATCATCAGATTTTTGAAATTACTTACATAAAACATTTTTCAGGTGCGATATTCCTGCCATGTATAATAATCTGGATGTTTCACAAGACACCCTGTTTTCTCAGTATAGTCAGGAAGAATCTATGTAAGTATGGAATCCATCAAACTTTTATAACTGGTTTTCTAATTTTAAGTAATTAAAAACAATATTTTAATTTATACACTTACTTATTTCAGGGAAATTCCTACTTTAACTGAAAACCCAAAGGAAGATTCCAAGATTATGATTAAGGTATATTTGGTATTTCATGTTTCTGGGCTTTTAGAATCACTCTTTCAGAGTCTCTTAAACAGCTCAAAGTTGACAGGTTGTCTATAGGTCTTCATTTTATTAATTTTAAGATTTGTTTTACAATCTCCTCTTGACTCCCACTCAGACACTAGCAGAATTGGGGGTGGGGGGTAGATGTGTTAAAAATAAATGTATTTGGCTTTTCAATGAGGGACACAAATTAACAGTCATCTACCACTACCTTTGAAGTATTTCCAATATGTTGAAAGTCAGTGAGTGTTTTTTGAATTATTAAAGTTGCAGGCTAAAATTTCCTTAGAAGGTCAAACTTGGGGCCGGCCCGTGGCTCAGTCGAGAGAGTGCGGTGCTGATAACACCAAGGCCACGGGTTCAGATCCTATATAGGGATGGCTGGTTGGCTCACTAGCTGAGCATGGTGTTGACAACACCAAGCCAAGGGTTGAGATCCCCTTACCAGTCATCTTTAAAAAAAAAAAAAAAGAAGGTCAAACTTGTTTGGTTAATCTATATATGTATGTATGTATGTTTCTGTGCAGGAGGAGCAAACGAAGAGTGTCATGGAAAACTGTGATATGGATGAACATCTTGAAAAAGCTTCCCTTTCAAATAATGAGTGTTCTCCTGATGAAACCAATCCAGAAATACCGAGCAGTAATAGTGATGCCGGAAAAACTTTAATTTCATCAAAGAAAACTTCAACTGAATGTGCGTCTAGTACAGAAAATTCTTTTGTTCTGAGCAGTAGCTCAGTTTCTAATGCCACTATTTCTGGAACTCCCCCACAGCCTACAAGTCGAAGGCAAACGTTTATTACCCTGGAGAAGTTCGATGGTTCAGAAAATAGGCCTTTTAGCTCATCTCCTTTGAATAACATGTCATCAACTGTTATAGTGAAAAATAAACAGGAAAGCATAAACAAAACAGAAATGCCAGCAAAAGCAAAGAAAAGAGAAGTGGCTCTTTCAAAATCTGAGTCTGAAAAAGTAGTGAATGGAATTAAGAGATCAGGCCGGAGATCAGGTAAAGCTGAACAAGCAGGAAATAAAAGGTCTAAACCCTTAACAAGATCTGAACAGGAGAAAAATACTCAGGAATCTGTCGAAGACCTGGTAGCCTCAGAAAATCAGTCACCTGGTTTGCTAAATCAAACAGAATGTGCGCCAGATAATCTGGTTCCTCTTTCTGAATCTATAATGGAGCATGAAGATACAAAGCTTAAACCAACTATAGAAAATGCTGTGTTACTGGAAAATGATACTGTTGAAGAGAAAAATGTAAGAATTAATTTGGAATCCAAAGAAAATACACCTCCAGCAGCAGTATCAGCAGATCAAGTGGAAAATGAGGACAGTCAGGTTCAGATAACTCCAAATCAAAAAACCCTTAGACGGTCTTCAAGGCGACGTTCAGAAATAGCAGAGTCTACTGCTGATAACCAAGATAAAGAAAATCATCAAAAAAAAGAAAGACGTAAGGAAGAAGAAAAACCTCTTCAGAAGAGTCCATTACATATAAAAGATATGTTACCTAAGCAAAAACTGAATTCTGAACAAACTGTGCAAGAAAATTTGATTGAGAAAGCAAATAATTTACATGAGGAGACTTCTGGAGAAACCAGTGCTAGTGCTGAAATTGACCAAAATAAAAGAAAGCCAGACCTTGAGAATACTAAATCTGAGGGAGATGGTACACAGGACATTCCAGACAAATCCTCTAAGAAACCAATAAGGGGACGAACACGGTATCAAACAAGAAGAGCATCTCAAGGTTTGCTCTCCAGCATTGAAAACTCAGAATCTGACAGTTCTGAGGCAAAAGAAGAAGGTTATAGAAAAAAAAGATCTGGAAAATGGAAAAACAAAAGCAATGACAGTGTTGGCATTGAAGATCTAGAAGAGAAAATGGTAAAACAGGAATGTATAAAAGGTGAAAATCAGACAACTGATTATAAAGCAAGTTGTGAAGTAGACGTAGATGTAAAATCTCAGAGCTGTGAAAAAAAAGATGAAAATAGTACTGTAATACTTCAGGAACCTACAGTATCTTCAGATTTGTTGCAAGTTTCTGAAGATGCACCAAATATATGTGAGGGAAAAAGTAAAACTAGTAAATGTGCAAAACATTCCTTTACAAGTCCGCCTGTGCCAGAATCAAATTTAAGGACTAGAAATGCCAGTAAGAGATTACATAAGCGAGATTCTAGTGATAATAGTGTAGGAGAATCCTCAAAAACAGAGACATCAGACATTTCTTTGCTTTCTGAAAAATCTCTCCAAACACTTGAATGTCAGCACAAGAGAAGTAGAAGGGTAAGGAGATCTAAGGGTTGTGATTGCTGTGGGGAAAACTTACAACTTCAGGAAAAGTCATTTATTGGGTTAAAGAAAACAGAAAATTACGACCTAACAGTTAGTGAAACAAAAAAGACAGATGTGCAAATACCTGTAACTATATCAGAAAGTTCTAAAGCTAATGTCTATTCTGAAGTAAAGTTTTTAGATGAGCATCATAGTATGAATTTTCATTTGGGTCTCAGGGAGGACAGTGATAATAGTAACAATCCCTTAATTGTGTCTGAAACTGAGTTGAAAGAAAAATCCACTCAAGCATCTTTTCCTTCCGAAATAGTAAATTTTAAAGAGGAAACTTGTAATATGGGCTCTAGTGAAGCAGTATCTCTTGAAAGCCAAGAGCCATGTAATAAAAAATTTAAAACTGTTAGCCCGTGTTTAGGTGATTCCAAAGATATTTCACAGGAATGTTCCTTGGAGACCAAAGAAGAGAAACCAGAAGCTCCAGAAAAGGGCCTAAGTCTAGAGAATGTAGTTAATGTTGAAGGAAATGCATATAAAGTAATAGCAGAATCCAATCCAGAGGAAGTAGAAGCTATGGAATTGGATGTAGGAAGTGATATATCTGAAGGTAGCTTCTCTGAACAAGAGAGTGCCAAAAGTGACATTTCTGAAGCAGCAAAAAAGGAAAATGATGAAAAAAGTGATTCTGTAGCAGACACAGCTAAAGGACTGAATGCTGCAGAAGCAGCAGCTGAGGAAATTAATTCAGATATTCGTCCTACTATCACACCTGTAGAAGTGAATGCTCAAATTGAACAAACAGCATCTGGGGAATTAGGTAGAGAAAGTGATGAATCTAATCGAGGCTCATCTGAAGAAAGGAGTGCTGAAAGGGAAAATTGTGAAGAAGCAGTGATTGGTGAGGTGAATGCTGAAACTGACCACATCGGTGAAGTGGAGGATGGAGATAAGGAAACTTCCAAGCCTGAAGAAGCTGAAACAAAAAGATTGAATGCAGAAATTGGCAACTTTGTTCCTGACACATTAGAAACAAGCACTGAAGAAGGAAAGATTGACTCTAATAGAACTGAAACAAATACTGAACTTAATCAATTTAAAGAAATAAAATTAGATGACAATCAAATGATAGTGGGAAATGGTAATGTTTTACTACAGGGGGTTCACCATACTTCAGAGAAAGTAGAGGAACCATTGCAGTCTTTGACATGTGGAACAGCTGTCTCTGAACTGATAACAGAAGACAAGGATGTATCTCCGCAAAAATTAAGGGAACTTGATCCTTCACTTGTGTCAGTAAATGAAAGTCCTGGTGGCATGCAGACACGCTGTGTCTGGTCTCCTTTGGCTTCTCCATCCACTAGCATTTTAAAGAGAGGACTAAAAAGACCCCAAGAAGATGAGATCTTATCACCTGTTAACAAGGTAGGGGGAATGAGGCTGAATATTAAGGAGTCCAATATTTAGAATATTGTAGCTATACAGTGACACCTAGTAAATGACAAAATATTAGGATTGTGTGATCACTCATTTTGATTATTTACCGTGGTTTCCAGTGAGAGGGCAGGTAGAAGTAAAGGTGTTGAGAGATGGAGACTGAAGCCCTTTAGATATTCCTTCATTTCATGATACCTAACTAAAGATCTTTATGCAACTATGCATATGGTGTTCACCTTTGGCAAAGTGGGTAAGACTCCCTTTTGGGGATGATCTTTTCTATTCCTTATACCGTAATATCATATTAGGAAACATTTAGGAACTTAGGCGATGCTATGGCCATTGATAAAGTAGGTTTTTCTTTACTGTGTGCTGGGGCATTATGCTGTCTGTTTCACCTCAGTGTTTATATTATAAACTCTTTATTTCCAGACCTCGTCTAATTAAAAAGAAGAAAAAAGTCTCCAGGCTGAACCTTCATCAGTTTCTGGATGTTATTTATATTCCCACCTACTGCAGGAAATTATAACTCCTTTAGTTTAGGAAACATGGATTATCTATGTATCTGCTTTAGCTTTTGGCCCTGTACCCTGTACGTAGTTTGTTGAACGAATGAATAAAATAAGAGGAAAAGTAAGATATTCTTACATAGCTCAACTTCTCTACTTAACAAAATAGATATTCTGAAAGGTGTGATGTTGTTGTTCCTTAACTTAATTTTGAAATTGAATCTATTTACTGTAGAATTCATGTTCATATATATACAAGCATGTGTATATAAACATGACATCTTGATTTTTGCCTTTAGTGGGCACATTTTTTTTTTTTTTTTTTTTTTTTTTTTTTTTCCTTGTCCGGCATCGGATCGCAACCCTCAGTGTCGCCCCCGTACTGGACCGGGACCGGCAACGGGATCGCAACCCTCGGTGTTGCTCCCGCGCCTCGCTCAGCCAGTGAGCGGGAACCGGTCTGTATGTGGGATCCAAACCCTCGGGCGGGAGCACCGCCGCGCTTCCCAAGCGGCGCACTATCCAGTGCGCCACCGGGCCGGCCCCTAGCAGGCACATTTTGAAAATATCCCCTAATCTCTATTCTTCTTACTCTTATGACATATCAACTTTCCAAGATATATTAGAAATTCTGCTGAGAATTTAGAGATTAATTAATTTAGGAAGACTTAACAACTCTTCAGTACCTATTCTTGTTTTGAGGGTATTTGCTTTTGGGGTTTTGTTTTTTGTTTTTAAGTATCTTAAATTTAATAGGCCATAGAAGTTCTTGGATAGTTTATGAAAATAGAGTACAGTGGGATTGATGTCTTTCTTCAGTATACTTTAGGTTGTTAATACACATTGACTAGTTCTTTTTTGTTTGGTAGTAGCTCAGGCTTTATTGAGGCAACAAGGCAACATATGGTCATTTTCTATGGCATGTATATATGTATGAGTGCTCTGTTGCATATTTACATCAAATAGCTGAATGAGTGAACATACTGTAGGAGTTTAGGAGAGGCCAAAATTACTTTCAGCTGGGGCTAAGAAAGACAAAAGTTGCTACCCAGTTGCTGAAAAGGTGTGTTGATAGTAACGTCAATGAGTTTAGTACAGAGATTAGGAAGATATATCAGAGGCCAGTTACTTCTGTACCTGTTTACCTTGTTCTTTCTAGTCTGTTTAGTAAGTCCATAAAATTATTAGAATCAGATTGTACAGTTTTAGCTGCTACATGCAGTTTTGTTAAGTTTCTTCTGCTGTCCCTATTTCACAATCTGTGTTGTTATATTATGCAGAGGTAGATTATATACTTCATTAGAATGAATTGTGGCATTGAGTAATATTATCTGTGAAAACAGTCACTAGGAAGAAAAACAGTTGTGTAGTTGGCTTCCAGTGAAAATAGATTAAACTTCTAAACCCATATTTTATTTTTGTATAACCTCATAATGAGAATTTATGGTGTCATTTTTTAAAACTTTATTTTGTTAAATAAGAACTTGACCTGTGTTTTCAGGTTCGCCGTGTGTCCTTTGCAGATCCAATATACCAAGCAGGATTGGCAGATGACATTGACAGGCGATGCTCTATTGTTAGGTCCTGTTCTTCAAGTAATTCTTCCATAGTAAAAAGTGTTAAAACTTCTCCTACTGCACAATCTAAGGTAAACTATAGACTTTAAAATACACATACATGGGGCTGGCTGGTTAGCTCAGTTAGAGTGTGGTGCTGGTAGCACCAATGTCAAGCCACACACACACACACACACACACTGCATGTGCATTATTCATCTTAGAATCAACTATTCTCAGTTAGAGTGTGGTGCTGGTAGCACCAATGTCAAGCCACACACACACACACACACACACACACTGCATGTGCATTATTCATCTTAGAATCAACTATGTACAAAACTTTTTTGGTTTGGATATGCTGTTCTTTTGTCTGCTACATGGTAAGCAGACATGAAGAGAAGAGATGGTAAGAGGCAACGATGATCCAACAAATAATTGATTAAGGTAGTAATAATTTCTTTTACATTTTCTGAAATTTTAAAGAAATGATTGCTCTCTAAGTTGTGAAAATTAAATTGTAAAATTATAGTAAACTAGGGTTCTGAGTGGTGTTTTTTTTCTCTCCTTCTGTCTAGCATAATACCACTTCAACCAAAGGAATTCTGTCCCCAGGATCACGTAGCCCTAAATTTAAGAGCTCAAAGAAGTGTTTAGTAAGAAGTGCTTTAGTTTTCATGTAACTTTATATTTTCATTTTCAGTCATGTGACCTCTATTTAATGGCTTTTGAAATTTATTCCAAGATTACAGAAATGGCCAAAGAATCCATGCCATGCCCAACAGAAAGTGTTTACCCAGCTTTGGTGAACTGTGTGGCACCAGTTGACATCATTTTACCTCAAATTACATCAAACATGTGGTAAGTGGTTTTTAGGCTTCTGGCTTTTGTTTTAAGATGCCACTTATTTAAGAGCAGTATGTGAATGGTCAGAGTTCTTATATTTAGAATTGGTTGCCATGCAGTCTTTCCTCACACATTGTATTTTATATATATATTTTTTTTCAACTTTATTTATACTTGTGGGGTATAGTGTGTTGTTTCAATACATGTTGTATACAGCACAATGATTCACTTAGGGTAGATAGCGTAGTTTTGGACCTGTTAGTTCACCCCTTCTCTTACCCTGCCAACCCCCTTTCCTCTCCCAGCCTCTGGTAACCATTCTACTCTCTGCTTCTATGATAACCACTTTTTTTTTTTTTAAGATTCCACGTATGAGTGACATTATGCGGTGTTTGTCTTTTTTTGCCTGGCTTACTTCACTTAACATGATGATTTCCAGTTCCATCCATGTTGCTGCAGATGATACCATTTATTTTTATAGTTGAATAGTGTTCCATTGTGTATATCTACCACAGTTTTTTTTAATCCATTCATCTATTGATGGACATTTAGGTTGATTCCACCTCTTAGTTATTGTGAATAGCATTGCGATGAACATGGAAGTGCAGGTGTCTTTTTGATATATTGATTTCATTTTTGTGTGTATATACCCAGTAGACACACATTTTATTTTAGAAATAAATAACACAGCAAGGAAGGTAGGCCAGACAGTCTATCCTAATATAGTAAGACAATGTGTGCAGAATCAGTGTTTTCCAGGTGGTATGCTGAACCTTTTATATGCATTCTTATTTAATCCTAATATAAATGCTATGAGGAACATCAATATCATTTCCACTTCATAAGATGAAAGATTAATCCACCAGAATCACACAGTTAATAAGTCACGTATAGGGAAAGTGAGGCTCACATAACGTAAAACTTACTCATGAGGTGTTTTTGTTTTTTGGATTAAAAGTTTGTTTTCTTGATGTGAGCTTTGAAAACTTAAATGCTTGTGGGTAGACAGTTCCAGATTACTTAATCTTGGTTAAGAGGATTGTTTCAGGTAGTGTGTGATGCCTCTAGATAATTTCTCTTTAATTGAATTGTTAGTTTGCCCTGTCTTGGCATAATCCTCAATAGGAGATGAAGTGTTCTTAACCTTCTCCAAGGAATTTAATAATTCAGTGATGTGTATCTGACATATACTGAGTCCATTTCTGTTTAAAGAAGCTGGGGAAAAGGAACATTAAAGGGGGTATAGGTTAGAAGGTAAAAAAACAGAAGAGGAGCCTGGGCTACAGATAAAGCTGGGCATGGTAGCATAACAAGTTTTGTCTTTCTATTCTACCTGTGTATGTAATGCAACAATTAGACAGCAGTTGCATGTGCTTAAGGAAATCTAAGAATCATCTCTGTTAAAGAGAGCAATGTGTCTAAAGCACGAGGCACACACACCAAGCTTATTCTGTTTCCAGTGCTATTGTTTAAGCCAGACATACACATCAGATTCAAATTTTATTTTAAATTAAATATGCATATGCCTGTCCTCACTGTGGGCTAGATGGGCCTACATAAATAAACTGTTATTGAGCTTAAGTGAGGAAATTCAACTGGATAAGCCTTCGCAAATAGCAAATAAGTGGAACTGTGTAATTATGTTCTTTTTCTTCTGTTCAGGGCAAGAGGCTTGGGACAACTCATTAGAGCCAAGAATATAAAAACAATTGGTGATTTGAGTACTCTTACAGCATCTGAAATAAAAACTCTTCCTATCCGTTCTCCAAAAGTGTCCAATGTAAAGAAGGCTCTCCGAATATATCATGAGCAGCAGGTAAAAACTTAGATGTTAGATATAAATCGTGTAGTAATAAATGATGTAGCAATACAGCTACAGAAATTTTTTAAACTATTTTGATTAAAAGCCCATTTTATGGTGCCTTCTCCCCCTAGTCAAGAGTAATTTAAAAGATCGTGTTATAACTGAGCACTGTTTTTATGTGATGCACTTACGGTTTGTTTTTAAATTATCTTCTATTCTTTGAATTTTCTTCTAAACCTTTCTCTCTTTTATTTCCACCAACTGGTGATTTGATTTTGTGGCTGCTGTTCCTAAAACCTAGATGTTGAGATTTAAACATCTGCAAAAACCTTGCAAATTTGTAAGTCACAGAATTTTGATTTTGATGTCTAGCACATTTGTGACTTATTTTTCTTGTTGTATATAAGCATTTTAGGTCATGGACATTTTTCAAGATTCTTCTCATAAAAATATACAGAAGATTTTGTATATAATTTCAGAAGGATTCACAGACTCCTAAAACCCATTCGGGACCCTCTACCCATTGACATTTTTAGGAATAGTGAGTAAATGAAAAATAGAGCATGTTAAGGGTGAAAAGCAGTGTTCTGCATTAGGATTTCTCAAACTGGGATTTGTCAGCTACTGAAGATTCCTGCTGTATTTAAGATAACAATTCACATATTATAAAATTTACCCGCCCAAAGTATACAATTAAATAATTTTTAATGTATTTACAGAGTTATACTGTCATCCCCATGATCTAATTTTGGAACATTTTTCATTACCCCATGAAGAAACCCTGACCCTATTAGCTCTCACTCCTCATTTCCACCCCCCAGCTTTAGGCAACCACTGATTTACTTTTCCTCTATAGATTTGCCTATTCTGGGCATTTCATAAAAGTGGGATCATACAATCTGTGGTCTTTTGTAACTGGTTTCTTTCACTTAGCATAATGTTTTCAAGGTTTATCTATATTGGCATGTATCAGAATTTCCTTCCTTTTTTTTAAGGGTGAATAATTTTACATTGTGTGGATAGAACCACGTTTGGTTTGTCCACTCCTCAGTTGGTGGACACTTGAATTGCCTTCACCTTTTCTCGTTAAGAGTAATACTGCTGTGAACATTCACATACAGGTTTTTTTGTGGATGTATTGTGTATATACCTAGACGTGGAATTGCTGAGTTATATGGTAACTCCAGCTTTCTAAAAGTGGTATTTTCTCAATCAGTGATTCATAGGCCCTGGGAACAACTATGAAAATTGTATTCTTTTTAAAAGGAAATCCATATATTATTTAAGCTTTGAAATCTCTGTTGTAGATTTTCTTTTCCCGTATTCCCGAACATGGAAAGTATAATGTAATTTTCTTAGCTACTGTGGTTATATTTCTTGAGTAATACATTATGAAATATTGCAAATTCTTAGCCCTGTCCATAAGGGTTAGGAATTTACAATATCATGCTATTTTTTGTGTGTAGTTAATAGAACATAGTTTCTTAGCAATATTAGCTAAGTTAATTGTGATGAGCTGTGTAACATATGATCCACACAAAATGTTCTTTTCCACTGTTTGTACTATTGTTCCTATTAAAAAGTAAATTTTAGTTTGTTGGATTTTTAACTGCGCTGAATGTATAATCTAGGTGAAGTCTCGTGGACTAGAAGAGATTCCAGTTTTTGATATTTCTGAAAAAACAGTAAATGGAATAGAAAATAAATCTCTCTCTCCTGATGAAGAAAGATTTGCCTCAGGTATATTTTAGCAACTTGGGACAATTTTATTTAGAAGATCAGCTGACTTTCTTGAAGAAATATTTTGTTAGGATTTTAGTTTTTATTTAATTTGACCAAGCTTTTTGTGTGTGTTTTTGTGTGTGTGCTTGATGCCAAGTGCATGAAAAAAATAACTTATTTGATTTCCATGTCTAATTGTTATTCTCTAATCATCAACTTCTAGTCCATCAAGGTCTCAAATAAAGATATAAACTGTGCCTTCTCTTTCAGTTATGTTAACAAAATGAAGTAGTCTCACCATTTCTTTAGTAGCATAGAATAATAAACTGGTAGATTTTCTTGTTCCCATGAAGAGCCAGGGCCATTAAACTTTTTATTAACTTAAAAGGAGATATAAAAATTTGTATCTGGTATAGATTTAATTGTATTTTTTTTTCTAGATTTGATTGATCCTGTTGCTTTAGAAATTCCATCATCTAAAAATCTTGTGGCACAAATTAGTGCTCTTGCTCTTCAAATGGATTCAGAAGATCTCCATAATTATTCAGGAAGCCAGCTATTTGAAATGCATGAGAAACTTGGTAGTATGGCAAACTGTATCATAAAAAATCTACAATCTCGTTGGAAGTCATCAGCCCATGAAAATTCTGTTTAGTATTTTAAGAGAAAACTGAAAAATTTTTAAACATCACTGGATTTCTTGATTAAACAAGTTCTGAAATATAGCACAATTTCAAAGAAAAGACTGTTTACAAAGTTGGTAACATTTCCAACCCAGAAGGATAATTATTGTGTAAGTTCAATTTTGTAAGTTCATTATGTAAGATTTTTTTCTCCCCCTTATAATATATTTTCTTGGCTGCTATGCATAGTTTTTCAAGAAATATAATTAATTTTACTGAGATGTGAAAGCATAAACTAGAAACAGAAACATACATTTTTATTTCACACTTTCTTACACGTGTATTCTGATCAAACATGTAAAGTACTTTAAGTAAAATTGAAAATTTTTATTTGAATTTTTGCTGAACTGATAAAGGTGTTTATACTTGTTTTTTTTTTTGGTTTTTGTTTTCAATTCATATTTGTTGTGCCTGGGGTTTAGGAAGTTTATTCTGGGTAAAACATCTTAAATGAGATGTGAAAGAATTGAAGCTTCTTGCAGATGTTAACTTTGGACAACTTTCAAAAACAATACCAAAAGTTTCAACTTCTGGGGGTTAAAATATTAATGCAGAATATACTAAGATTCTGTTCATTTGCATTAGCAGATGTTTGTGCAGCAGGGTCTGCCTGTGAAAATGTACTGTTGAGACATAGTATTCATTTTTAAGTGTATGACTGTATATTATGTATAGATGACGTTCTTAATTTATAAATTCAGTCTTCATTAACTGCATGAAATTTTTTGCAGCTTCTTGTGAATACCTTGGGTTTGTTTAATAGAAACTTATTTTGTATATATTAAATACTGAGATATCAGTATGGACAATAGAAATGCTTCATGGGCTTGCTGCAGGTATTTGTAGGATTCTGTATCTACAAATAAAACAACAAATAGTTTTGTATTTAGTTAATAGTTTTAGTTAAAACATGAGTGTATTTTCTAAAAGTATCCAGAATGAGTAAAATTATAGAAATGAGAAAACGTTACACAACAACTTTGCTATTCATATCCTTACCTCTTTTTTCTTTTGGTTTAGAAGAGGGTATCAGCCACTAGAAAGCGTGCCTCATTACGTTTTTTCTTAATGGAGAGTTAATTTGAATATTTTCATTCAAGTTGGACTATAAGAAAGCTAGAGTTTATCTGCCTTTTTAAAAAATGTATATCTAAAAGCTAACTTGGAAGAAATTTGAAACTGTTCTTTTTTATATATGTATGTTTTGCCTAGTTTTAAAAAATAGGGTGTTTGTAATTATATTTGTAAATTTTACCACTAGTATTAGTATCTCACCTCCCATATTTGTTTCATCTTTTTAACTGAGAATATATTTCACTCAGTCCCTGAATAGAATGAGTTGGATGGTCTTCTCAGTTTCCACACTTTATTCAGAACCTAACCCCTACTTGGAAGGGCACACATTTATATTGCAAGTTGTAGAAGTTTTTAATGTCTGGCTAGCTTTCCCATATTCAGTAGGGGCCCTCCAGCAAGCTCCTCTGAAAGTTGGTGTCTTTTTATGTCATAATTATAAATCCATCATCGTTACAAACGTTTTTGTGTCCAAGTACGATATTCATATACCAAGGATGGTTTTATAAAGAATTCTGGTATCATTGAACTAAGGTTGTAGCTTGAAGAAATAACTAATGAAAAATACTAATTTTTAAAAACAACTATAATTGTGGTTTACATTGTCAATCATTTCCCAAATTATATTTAATGGTAAAGAGGCATGTGAGTTTTTAGTTAACCAGGTGTGAGTAAAAAGGGTGTGTGTGTTTGGGGGAGGGGAAGCGGGATACTTTAACATAGTTCAGAGTCTAAATTAGCTCATTTCATGATTATATGCCTTAACATTGTGTGAACTAAACTTTGCTGGTTGAACGAAGTTCTTGAGAAGCTGAACCTCATAGTACAAGATGTGACCAAAGTTTAAGTGATTTACTTAAATCACAATTTGATACAAACATAGGTATTAGTTTTAAAAACATTGTAGTTAACAAGGTTTTATTTAAAAATATTATTTGGGGGGCAAAGACCAGCTTGCTAAATCTTCATCATTGCTATGACTATAAACAATTATTTTCTATATTGTTGCCTTAAGATTTTCTGCATGTTTTTTTCTTGAATGATTGCTGAATAGCAGCAAGCTTTTGATATTCCTTAATCAGCTCCACTGTGTTGTTTCACTACTAAAATGGAGTCCATTTTTTCAAATCTTTTCTAATGGCTAATAAAACAAATGACAAATATTAATAAGAACACTCAAATGTTTATTTTATGCATTTTTGAAAAGATATAGTGGCATGCAGGAGTGGAGTATAATTTTCATATCTATGAAAACTATTTTGGATTTCATAGTGAATTTAAATTTTCAATATTTCAGTGAGCCTGTTATTAAAGATGCTCTGCCATTTGATCTAGTTAGCCATTGTTGAATGATAAGGAGCTTTACTCTAATTCCAAACAGTGTAGGAGGAGTCAGGTTAAATAATGCTATTGGATAATACAGTCAAAAATAATATTTAGATCTGAATGTTAAAAGCGTGATGGTTTCTGATAGTGTCCCTGTATTCTTTTTTTTCTGTACAGCTTGAAGATAGGGATTCTGTTACATATTTAAGAATTAGATAAATGTCAGTGAGTGGCAGGGCAAGAAACAAAATTGGGAGAAATGGGTGGGGGTGTGAATATGTAAGTGCAGTTGTGTTTTTTTTTTTTTTTTTTTTTTGTTTTTTGTTTTTTTTCCGTGTCCGGCAACGGATCGCAACCCTCAGTGTTGCCCCCGTACCGGACCGGGGACCGGCAACGGGATCGCAAGCCTCG